CGAATGCTGCCGGGTAGGTACGCGTGCCTTCTTTAACACCAAGGTTTCCTTCTTTGCATGCAATAAGTTGAGGCCTATTTCGGTCATACCTTGACGCCTGTTTGTCTTTATGCTTACTTCGGAAATTGCCGCAAGTTCTGACTGCGCGGTAGACTAATGCGTGTTGCTGTGCGGTGTTCACCGCCTGTGAAATTTATAACTGGGTCTGAAGAGTCGGGCATTAGGATAAGACCATGACTTCACTGTTTTGTCAACGCGCCTAAATCTGTGGTTATTTCGGGGCCGTTTTCCCCCTTCTTCAACCAATGGCACACAAATTTTCGTACTCTAGCCCTCGACTCTAATACATCAAAATGCATGAGAAAAAAGATCCCGAGTGATCAGAGTCAACAAAGGCAACTGGCAGCTATGTTACGTAGGCGCGATGTGCATCAGACATAAAGGAAACTAACAGAACATGTCATCCATGTGCCTTTCAAATGACTGCAGGATGACACAAGAGTGTTTTAATGGGATTCTGACTATTGGTTTTAAAAGGTCCAAAACTTAATTTATTCCGCTAAATGAAGATGTCATGATTTAAAAAGACAACTGAATTATCGGGCTTTTGACAGGCATTTAAAGGCGTTCAAACTCTGTGGGTTAGATAGTTAAATACTGTTCTGAAGAATAAAGCCTGCCGCCTGATACTTAATCTTCGCTGATAAAAGCCAACAACTGAGTTCCAGGAACCATGCCTACTTTATTTGGGAGTGCCCATGTTCATCCTTGGGAGCCGGAGTTAATTTGATGATAGCTTGTTGGGCCGTATCCGGGGCGTTAATGGCCGTGACTTCGTCACCATAGGCGATTATTGGTGTGACGTTCGGCTCCCTGTCACGTGACTTCGCGTCACCCACACCCTCCCCCAATGGCTAGTAATTTTTTCTACGTAAAATCACAGCACAGCATAGGGGAGGTGGGGTTCATTGCACTTGTTAATTGAATGCGGGCCGGAGAACCACGACTTAGGCAGCCTACGGCTCACGCGGTTGTCACCTCTTGCGAGGATTTCAGTCTCATCAAACTTTGAGGTCTGACTGGGTCCGGTCGAATGAGCCATGAGCTGGGAGGGCAGCGTCATTCCTCCTCACTGCTACTGCGTGCTCCACCGCCAGCGTACAAAACAGTCTCCCAGTTTCTCTGACATAGTTGTTTTGCCCGCGATCGCATCAAACTTGATAAACGACTCCAGACGTTTCTTGCGGGTCTTTCCGTTTCATTATCTGACGCCTGATGTTTGCGTCCGGTTTGCGTGTAACTCCAACGCCAAGTGGTGCGAGAAGGCTACCGACACCCTCCAGGATGTTCATAACGTGCGAGAGCGCTCGCCAAAATTTGGAACTTGTTGATATTTGTCCCGCCGCGTTTCTACTTGCAGCAGCTGACGAAGTTGCGCGCGTACCCCTTCGCTCGAAACACCCGTCGAACATACTGTAGTTCAACAACCTTTTCTTCCGCTTCTCTGCAATACATCTCGAAGCGCCGATATAGCACCCTAATGCGAGTGCGTAACGGCGACCCGCCTTAACGGATTAGAATGGATGCCATGGGGCTTGGCTTTGCAACAGTCTTCAAAAACCACCCTACTGGCCGATTCGTGATGAAGCAGAATCGATGCTTCATCAACAACACTTGCCACCAACATCGCCCCAAGCGTCTAGTAAGCTGATAATAGAACAGCGTTCATAAACCCGTCTGACTGATTGCATTCCAGCCAGCGAAATACTTCACAGATACTTTCCTGGCAACAGACCGATGCAGTGCCGGAACGGAAAACGCCTGCGAGTCAGACCACGTTCTCGTTCGCGCGCGCCTGAACGCTCACCTCTCATACACACCCTAAAAGGTACCTCGTATGGTGCCACAATGTCGCTAACCCGAAGCTCTTAGGACAGAGATCTGGTCTCGCCGTGGCGAACAAAGGGAGGACAGCCGCCAACACTCTGGCACCCTCTAGCATATATAAAGAATGTGTCCTAAGCGATGGAACATATCGCTGGAGAGCTCGACGTGGGTATCGCTCAGAGGCCGGACAGTGACTATGAGCAACAAAATCATGCGAGTAAAGGACCGACTAGACGTGGGAAAACAATCGGGTGTCTTTTATCGGATCCCATGTCGGGACTGCCCTGACCACTACACAGGACAGGCCGGACTACAAGGATGTAGTAAACTGTCATCACTGAAGTCCTGAGTCTGAGAGGCAGCAGAATCCGGGCGGAAGCGTCCAAATGACTAGATCACGTCAGGAATCTTGCGAGCTTCTGCCCGGACGACTAAAGGTAGAGCCCACAACAGGCAATTACCCCTCAAATTCAAGAAGAGGAAGTCACAATTGACCATGGACTATTGTAAACTATAAGCTTGCTTTAACGACGTCCGTTGAACAGGCTAGAACCGCCAGAGCCAATCCAATTTGCCGCTAAGGCATCCTTCAGATTAGTTGTGGACTCTGCATGCCGACAAATCCTGTTCGCTATGTGAGCCATTACTTTATTTTTGACAAGCTGACTGAGGTCGATTGTTGGCGCCAGCACTTCGAGCATCTTTCCAACTTCGGTGGCCGACCAACCATTGTCCATTTTATCGTGGAGTTTCATCTTTCCGCAGGGTTTTATGACTCCCGTCTCAGAAAGAAAACGTGTATGCAACAGCACAGGGCTGAAGAGGTCGGAATACTCGACTGCCGTCCTGCCTTTATTGGCTAGTTGGATCATCATGGGTAGATGAATCCGCACCTCATGGCCAAGGCTCATTTATCCCTGTACCTGTCTTTAGGAAGGAAAGTTCGGGAACAACAGCGACTATTCTTTAAACGTCTTTACCTCAGCCTTGCTCCCGAGTATTTAGACTACGTAGGACTAGACCGGAGTATTCACGGTGGTCATGAATGCACCGACCAGCTATTCACACTGCAGCACATTGTTGAAACCCGCCATGGCTACCAAAAATCAACAATCATCCGCTTCGTTGTCTTTTTCGGGCCATCGACTCCGTCTATAGTGAGTCCCTGTAACTAATAACGGAGTTAGAGGGTAGTTTCGACAAACATCGTCATAATGAACAGCGACTCCTATAATTCAACTACCACGACCACTCCAGTTCTAGGTCTTAGCCGTTCGATATTCAGTCTTAAGTTCGACAGCGCTACATTATGTCGCCCATTTTGTTCCAGCACGCCACTGTCTGGATTCTCCAGAGGTCCAACTCGTTTTTTTGCCGTGTCGAATTCGCTGACTGACTGACCTCGACTAGGCCAGCCAAATCGTCTCGCCAACCTCAAGATTTAATGACCCACCGAATCCACTGTCGCGGTTGAATAAGGTCAGAAATGCCAATAAATCTTTTTAAGGTTTGTATCTGTCACCTTGAAGAAAGAAAGAGTTTTCACTGTGTCAGAGCAAAACTATGGTCAAAACGACAGAGTGGAAACGGCACCGCCTGCTGAATCAAGGTGCGGCTCACGGTTTATTTTCAAGCCTTAAGAAATCTTCATGCACGCCATCTCGTAGCGTTACCGTTATCGGGCATACCAAACACTAATTCCGTCAGCTCTAAACTATCCTGAACGCCGAGTCGTTCAAGGAAGAATAATAGACACCGGAGGGCCTTGATCAACGTTGCTTGAAACCACCATTTGCACGGAGTACCGAAGCTGGCAACTTTGTGGGCACGGTTTTCCGCTGGTCGCTATCGAATATGTAAATTTCCCCTTAGCAGGTTGGCGTTTTCGCGCACCTTACCAAACGCCTATGGACTACGCGAGTGGCTGAGATTCGTGCAATAATCGATGTCACTGATGACTACTCAGAGTCTTAGACGTGCTACGACAGCTCGATGACAACTGAAAGGAAAGTGGAAAGGCGCATTTCGTGACCCACTTGTGGTATAAGGCACGCCTAAAAGCCTCAACCTACAGCCTTCGCAGGCAGTCGACAGGCGATTTGTGATTAGAAGATCGCTAGAAGCTCCTAATTGCCCGAGTTAATTTCCAGACTGCGAGTCCCCTCGGGCGCCTCTCAGTAGGTCACTGTTCGATTGTTGTGGTGAAAGATACTGCAACTTGGAACGCAAAATGTCCTTCGCAACCTCTGCTATCCTTAATTAAAAGTATAATGCAGATTCTGCCTGCTCAATACCATAAACGAGAAAGTGTTGTTCCTATCCTTGTCTATAAATTTAAATTAGTGTAACCCGACTGAGAAATGTGATGAGATCACCGGATCTGTGGAATTGAGGGGCTGGTGTTTTGGAGAGTTTGACCGGCTCTCCATTATGAAAACGGTTTGTGCAAGAAATAGACCGGGATTTTAAATAAACGGCCGAATTATTTGGCCTTGAGTCAATCTATCTTTTTCCTCTTTTACTACCTTGACCTTCTAAGCGTTGTCTGTGAATGTCGGTGGCCTCCTGCGTTGTAGGTCGTCATCTAAATAGGTTTCGGTTGCACCTATGCCCCTCTTTCGAGTGAATTAGTCGACAGGCTATGCTGTTTTGGTATTTTTATGCTCTTATGTAACCTTCTTGTCCTGGTCATGGCGTATGCAGTGACGCAGAACTTCATAGGCCGCAGGAGGGTCTGGATGCCTGTTGATGGATTTGGCATCTGAGTACCAAGCCTTAAATGTGGGGCGTCATAATCCCTAGCTGTCCCCGACTAAGACGACTGCTCCTTGGACGTCAAAACTGTGGCCAGTTTCTCCGATGTGAGTCGCAAGCTGTGAGTTCGGGTCTAGTCTCCGAGTTGCCAATTTGTGCTCGCGTAGGCGGGTCCGTCTGGTTGTCACTTGCACGCCAACCACGCCGCACATAGACTACAATACCTTCTGGGGATGCTTAATTCTCACTTATGTCGCTCTGTATGCAGCTGGACGTTGTCGAATGGCTTTCTTGCCGTTCTCATCATTGAGCAATGCTCAGTTCAACTATCGGATTCATTCCCTGACGGTTGACGAAGCACGGCAAATTGTTCAGTGCGACAAGAACGAGAGGGTTTAGTTATCCTTCATCAGAATGATCATGCCTAGAAGATGGAAAAGGAGCTCTCCTGGCATCCACTCTCGTATCCAAATTGCATATTCGATTTTGTACTTTATCTCCTACGGGTTCGTATACTCACATGCGTGACATTTGAAGTCTGAGCGATAATTGCATTGCTCACAGACCTTTAGTGACGAAGGTAGAGTGGAAAAAGGAATGAAGACCAGGATACTTTTGATGCTATAATCGATTTTTTCGTATGAAAAGTCACTATACGTAACTGTACGGATTATTGTAAGGTGATACCATACTAGTAGATACCATACACTTGTGTTTTGCCGATATTCTGCGCTACATGGCGCAGCTGCGAGGGGTTCGGCTCGTCAGTGGGTCCCCCAGCATTTCCCGTCTGTTTTCTGGTAGATACTCCAATTGAGAAATTGTTGCTAACGCGTCGGACCCCTCGCAGCTGCTCCATTCAGCGACAGAATATCGACAAAAGACGCGTGTATGGACTTTCGGCTAGTACCTGTGCTATTAGTATGGTATCACCTTACCTTAAAGTGTATAAATAGCTGCCTGTCAGCAGTTAATGAATATTACGCGGTTATTCGCTGTGGCTGATGGATATCGGTCCAAATATTCATCAATAAAATTCTCGGTCTGGGCCTATAGACCTTGAATAAACCGATCTACATAAATTTCCTAGTTACGTTCTGAGGGAATTAAAAGGCGACAATGCACTGATTAAGTCTATCTATCTCCGACATTTTCTGTCATAAATTGCGGACCTGTTAATAACGCATTCGCACTTGTCCCACCTTTATTTTCTAGGGGTGAATCGTGACTGCCTTGTTAAATCCTGGATTACTGAACACGTTCTCCCCCCATACCATCCTCTGTGTCAATAAAGTGTCGCAAAACAACTTACGCTCGCCCCTTTGACTTTAGGATTGTTACCCTCTTCAAACTGTCAACTGTGCGACGAATGATTAATAGTAATTCTGTTTTTGGACCTTACTATGACTGCATAAAAGTTTTTATTATTCTAAATGCTCCGTTGAGGCCTTTAAGTACTCTCTATCAGCGCAGGCAAAGACGGAACCACCTAAGTAGGATTCCACTGCAAATTGTATTCCGGCGAGTTAAATGTCACTACGTCCGCCCCAGAGGATGGTGTAATTTGGGCTTGGTTTCCGGCTATCACAGAAAGTGCTGTAAGAATGAATCCAACGCACCGGCTTAGCGTACGCTGTGGTATTCGTGTTTGGAGCCACCAAAACACCTCTTATAATAGTCCTTATTGAACACGGGATATAAATTTGGAGTTAATTGTGCTCATCTTATGTCTATACGGATTTCATTGGCTGCGCCATTCGCCTCCGTCAGTCGAAAAGCCTCTTAATTGTGGCTTTGTTCTCCTGTCAGTGGCATTCGTTAGGTATTCCTCCCTGGGGACTTACTGCTATCACGCACACACAGCAACCGTCTTTATTTGTCTTCCATCTGGTCCTCGTCCGCCCAAATTGAATGGTCTTCATCAAATTGGCTTTTTCCCTTGCGCTCAACACGGCCAGCTTTCCCCGATTTCATGCTATTTCTTTTTTGGACACAAAAATCATTTTGCCTAGTTGCCTGGTTTCACTGAAACCAACTAGCTTCCTCCCCGCACGCGCATTCAAAGGGATATTATTAAAATTTATAGATGCTCCGAAAATGTTTTGTACGACCTTACGAAGCCCCTGGTAGGAGGCTGTATTGACACTTGTAGAAAAGTCTAAAAATTCCCATAATTTATGCTGTCGACTGCAAATAAACCTAAAACGCCCATAGGACGTGAACTTTCTGCTCGTAATTTAAGAGGAAACGACGCTTACTGCACGAAAAAGCGTTAAATGTCAGCAGAAACGCGAACGACTAGCCAGCGGGAAATTGTGGAGACGAAGACTGCTTTTTTTCTGTCTGTAGGGCTTGTTCTCCACTCCCAGCATCTGGTTTGTAGAAAGGGCTGTTTTTTTTCAAAAAGAGTGTCTAATTGGAACCTCTTGTGTTTCTACGTCTAAGGAGCATGCCCTCAGTTTTTGTAGCCGGCGAAATCAGCTATGAAAGCAGTTTACGCGAATGCGATTGATGCATACGACTAGCGGGTTTTAAAATTAGTCAGATTCTCACGAGAATTCATTTAAAATTTGTTACTCGGTAGCTCACTTTTTTGCAGGGCAAATTTTATTTTCCGAAGTTCGTGTTTCACCCAACCCTTACCAAACTTTGGCTTCATTGGTCACGTTAGCCTGTGTATGCAATACGATAACTTTATTCTAGGTATTTTCAAAATGTCTCTCTCACTTTAGGACATTTTCCGTAGGTCCTTGGATTATTTGGGCAGTCTCTGCATACTACTATGTTGCTTCCAAAGTGCTTTCGCTAAATCAGCTCTAGATGTATGAATGACCACGTCTTATTGGATTGAGAAGATCGTGGTGGTACGCTTAGGTGTGAGTTTTTGTCGTACTGGCCACTTGCACCATCTCCCGTCTACGGTCTTTTTGACTCTGTCTTTACATCAGGCCCGGATGGGGGAGAATGAGAGACTGCTATCACTCTGAACTAATTTACCCCGTTCCAGCTCTCATCTTCTTAAGTCAGTTTAAGTCATTTTATTAAGGGAATGAGGCTTTCGCTCTTGAGCTCCCTATTCATATCGATAAACAGAAATAAAGTCATCAATTACATCAGCAAATGCGGAAAGTTAAAAATTTAGCGGTAAGTGTGAACCAGGCGCAATCTGCCACCGCTAAAACAATCTTTATTGTATGTACAGTAGCTTCTCAACAAATGAGCATCTAGTCTACATTTGAAGGAATCGATACATTCGGAAAGAACCACTACATCAGGGAGTCCGTTCCATGCCCCAATGACCCTGTGAGAGAAAGCGTTCCGTCGGACGTCCGAATGGGCCAGCTTCCTCTGCAGCTTGAAGGAATGACCAAGCAGGCGGTCAGTCCCAGCCAATTCGAAGAATTCATCAAAGTCTAGGGCACACTCACGACCTCTGACTATCCTGTAGGTTTGAATGAGATCACCGCGCAGTTGCCTGTAATTTAGAGGAAACAGATTTAGTTCGGTCAGCCTGGTTTCGTAAGGCAGATGATTAAGATTCTTGACCATTTTCGTAGCCATCCCCTGTACCCTTTCCAGTCGTTGATAATCTTTCTTCAACCACGGTCGCCAGACCTGGACTGCGTACTTTAAGTGAGACCGGACGAATGCCCCATAGGTTTTCCCGAATAGCTCTTTATCGATCTGCACAAATCCTCGCCTCAGCGCAAATAACATCCTTATCGCACTTTTGGTTGCCCTTGTTGACATCGTCGGCAACGACGGTCAAACTAGGTAAGGGTGGTTAGGGAGGGTATTCTTGACGTCAATAGACCTGGCATCCGACGTACGAAACTCCTACCATCCTTATATGACATATACTCGGGTACCGACAATGAGCTCTTCAGAGAGTTTTATGTTGTTTTATGTCTAGAGTAGTGCTAGGACTTAGTTTCATGTCTACGGAATATCTCAAAGTAAGTTTCAATACCATAAATTACCATCCACTGTATTTGACCAGGGGTATTTAGTTGGTAAATTGATGTCTGATTTGCAGTCCTTCGACACAATGGTAACAGGCGCGATATAACCCGCAAAAACCTGCTGCCCAGTTTTAAGTAAAGTTTAAATGCTATCACGAGCACTAAGAAACGACTGCAGGTAGTCGCACCAAGGACATCCAGACAGGTTACACATACTATTAATAAGAATGGGAGTAGTTACTCGTGGTGACTGCGGAGGAACTAATCCTAGGCGCTTATATGGCAAGTGCCATGAGAAGCGACTACAGAGTTCGGGCAGATGTACGTGCTATCGATCAACAACTAGAGCTCTCTGACCGTTTAAAGCAGTGCTTATTAAATGGGCTGCCAATACAGCGTATCGTCTTCTATTTATCTTTGAATGCTTATTGGTCGTTCACACAGCAGGCTGCGTCTGATGTCCCCAGCATGTTCCCAGTTCTCTCCTTTTATGTTTACTTACTGTCGTGTCTTTTAAATCTAAAGCGCTAATTTTTTTTGTGGTACCGCTTTGTGTGAGTTTGACTCGATCACTGGAGCCAGGAGATTCGTCTGCCTAACGCTACCTAATTCATGCTCAAGTTCTACATCGGGCGTGGCAGAAGACAGCCCGTCAATACACAGAGGACGCAGCACTTGTCATACTATGTCATACGCAGACAGTGTATATAAGCGAAGCGATAAGAATCTTGTCCGCCGCGTTCCTGTCGGTAATTGCACGATTTTCATCATCGGTGTCAGTGAATGACATCACATCAATAGGAGTAATGTTCACTCGCGCACTGTCCATGTTTTATTGATCGTCTTACTCGGAAAAATCCTTATCGCTGGATAGAGAGGATTAATCCACGACATCTGCTCACGGAATGCGGGCAGATGAATCATGATTCGAACAACTGACAAGCCCGCCTTACGAACACATAGGTTAGGAAATCCCAGTCCAGAGACAAATTCATTGTTATCGTGTCTTTTTTCTGAATTTGCCGGATCTAGGACACATGCCGTGGAGTCCGGTTTCCCGGTCAACCTAAATGGCACAAGAAGGTTGCATCCGGTCAGTGCGCAATCTAAACTCTAAGTGGCGCGCGAGAAGGCGTCTTACAACTTCCTAGACGTGCCTAGCATACTAGAAGCTTCGTCAAATTAGGTTTTAGCGCTGTTTGGTTTCCCGATTCCTCTTCGTAATTGCCGGTTGATATAGTGGCACGTATAGCCGAAACCTCTTAAAAGATTTCGGACCATGAAAGGCAACTTGGTTTGTGGATTTCTTGTTCGCCATGTAAGAATTAGGGGAGTACTAAGTGTCTGGTCTTAGCCTGCGTCCACCGTCATCTTCGGTCTACTTGAAATCACCTTTCACTTCCTCGTATTTGAGCTGCTTTCTTGTGAAAGTCCACCGTAATGAGATACATCCATACTGATGATGGATTCGAGTAGGAATCCGAAACATCAGGCTAATAAAGCTCTTGTCCCGGCAATCGTGTCTCCTTCTTCAACACATCCATATTAACAATAAGAACGTGCTAAAACACGAAAAAGGGCTGGTGAAGCATAAGAATTGGAGTCCCTGCTCCCAAAAAAACTTGTTTTGCGCAAAATTCCCGTATTCTAACCCCAGTCATAACACTAATCGTAATACCAATCGTCATCTCCATGGGAACTAGCGCAGCACCCCGAAAAACGGAGTTCTTCCTCCAATCTTTCCGAAACGTTTGGAAAGAAATCATTAGGCGCACTTCAATATACATGAGGGACATATATACGCGGCAGCAAAAGTCAAGCGCCGTGCTTTTCACAGATTGCAACGCGTCAGGAGAGGGTAGAGACTCAAGCATTTCAACTGCTGTTGCTTGCCTGTCTTTCAGAAATAAGTAGGGTGGGGATTGTTGTCACTAGTCTCCTACGAGCTAACCCTGTCCATCAAGGTGAAGAGCTTGCTCTCATGTGTTACCGGTCAATTGCCTGTCAATGGCTCTGCTCTGATAATCGACTATGGCACCCAACAACTCAGAATCGCGTTTATTTCACACCGAAAATAAATATAAAAGAGATCTCATTTGAGTGTAGAATTTGCCTCTTGGAAGTAATATAACATAGTGTATCCCCTAGTAAGCGCGCATACTATTCACTAGATTATATCCTTAAGTGTTTCCAATGTCATATGTAATAGTGAACTTGCTAAACATGCCTGCGCATTCACACGTCTAGTTGCGTATTTATGGACACCTACCAAGCTGTTAGGCTTTCTAGGTGTGCACTCTAAGAATATTCGTCGAACAGTAGGTTGTCGTTTCCATACACGTGAATGTCATCGTTTTTCTTGGCCTATATCTTAACACCCAAAGTCTAGATGATTTTTTCCCGCAGTCACTAGTCCTGGCGAGAAATTGTGGAAAAGGGATTGCGCTTTACTCGCTTGTGCACGTTCATTGTTCGATCAAAGGTTTATTTATTTCCAGGACTTCGATTTCCAAAACCATCTGGACAGGATGTGCTGCCCCTGCAAGGAGATTCTAAAATTTGTCATCATCTTCGTCAACACACTTCTCGGCGTAAGTTGATCACGTTCACCTACCTTACCTATTATTGCCGGAGATATATGCCAATAAGTAATACAGCCAGGGACAAGAGAGATTGGGATGTACATGCCAATTATCCGCATGTACCACTGCTCGCTAAGTGAGTGACCTATCTAATGAAATGTTGACTGAAATTCTGAAACGTGTTTTTGATTAGGAAGGATTACTTAGGCGCGGTTGTAATAATAACTATCTTGCGGCATAATCGTATAGTATTTCGGATTTGGCAGGATGTCGGCTTTTAAACACACTGCTTCTTAATCTCTTGTAAAGAACGTACTCGGTAAAAAATGACTACTTAAGTAGCATGCATTTTTCTCATTGATTTTCGGTGGCCTTGCAGATTCAAATATATCTTATAGAAACCATAAACAAAAATGCGCTTTCTTTCAGACAATTAATAGAGAATTACGTCTTTTTATATTTTTTATTCAAGCAAGGAGTTTAATTGGGTTTTAAAAAATTGTCCAATTCCCGAATATCTATGAGCCAGATCTGCCATTGCATTAGTGTTTAGCGATTTCAGTTTACAAGGTGCATGCTTTCTACGTTAGGAAAATCACATATTTCTCTATGCGTTTAGGAAGATACCATATAGAGTTTATAAAATTTTGCAACGGATCCGGACTATGTTGTACATTTCACGAGGAGCTGTCATAAACGGCCAGGCACGATGCTATGTGAATGGATATTGCGCGGTCTAAAAAATTCCCATAATTAGAAACTTTTTTACCACCTAATTATACTCCTATCTTGAATAAAAAACATAAAGAAGACGTAATTCTCTATTAACTGTCTGAAAGAAAGCGCATTTTTGTTTATGGTTTCTATAAGATATATTTGAATCTGCAAGGCCACCGAAAATCAATGAGAAAAATGCATGCTACTTAAGTAGTCATTTTTTACCGAGTACGTTCTTTACAAGAGATTAAAAAGCAGTGTGTTTAAAAGCCGACATCCTGCCGAGTCCGAAATACTATACGATTATGTCGCAAGATAGTTATTATTACAACCGCGCCTAAGTAATCCTTCCTAATCGAAAACGCGTTTCAGAATTTCATTCAACATTTCATGAGGTAGGTCACTCTCTGTATATCATCCTTGAATACATATTATATCAGCTATTCTATATATACATATATATGCAGCATGTTATTAACGACAAAGACAAGATAGACAGTAATGGCCATTTCTGACTTATTAACCGTCGTTAGCCAGTCATACCCAGCCCCGAAGTGTCGAACACCTGGAGCTCGAACTCGCAACCTGTTAGGTAGACGTCTAACGCCTCTAGCCACTGACCCACGGGCTCACTGTCTTGGCGGTTGCGATTGCAGATATACAATGGCATAGGGGGTGCTCACCGACCATGGTACGGAACTTCACTCGTTCTGTTGTGCCTTATGGACTCTCTCTCTCAAGCCCAACCAGCAGCCACACAGCGGCGCATGATATTGGCAGAATGATATTACGGACAAAGACAAGGGAGACTGGAATGGCCATTTCTGGCTTATTAACCGTCGTCAGCCAGTCATACCCAACCCCGAGATATGCAGCCCTCATAAGGGTGAATTTATTGACCTATTGCAATCTTGATAGGTCTCATAAGACAGCCAAAAAGACGATATTTGAGTAAGTGTTGTTTGGAGTCCATACTATAGACTCCCTTTAATCCGCAGCACATCCCTACCTGAAGTCCCACATTTAGCGACGAGGTAATTATTTGCACAGAATCGCGCATCAAGTGCATCCCTCCATATTCATCTCTGGTTAGTTCTACCTTGTTTTCTTTTGCATAAATAAACGTAAACATTCCATGCAACTCAAACGGCTTCTTTTGTGATAGAGGCCAAAGTCATGCGATTTGGATGTCGCTGGATATGAAAAGCAGCATGCAGTGATAAAATAATGGGCTTTAAAGTTCACAAGACCTCACTTAAGTAGTTGTTTCCCTCTAAAAGCACATTTAAGACACTCAGTTATTGTCTCATACGTTCTGATGCTTGATGTAAATTCCGATCAGTTAGCCACAACCAAAAAAGAAGAAGAATATGAATCGCATCCGCAGCACTAGCGCTTACTTATCTTCGACGAATATTCGTAACTGCGTAGGGCCCTTCTCGTGCCCTTCAGCCTGCAAACTTGTTTGCTCGAGGTGTGGCCGCGTTTATTCTATATTTACCCCGCGTCCCTCGTTGCCTTTTGCCATCGGAGTCGCGTCCGGAGGCTGTAAATGCCTATGGCACAGGACGCTTGAAGTACTCTGTCGAATAACAACGCCCTCCCCTGTCCTACTACCTCGTCACAGTGCCTTGCTGTTCGGGTGGCGGCACAAACCCCCGTCACGTGACTGGCCTCGGGGAGGCCGTCACTTGCTCGGCCTGCCAGGCGTTATTAGTGGGGGTGTGGACTTTGTTCCGTTGCTTGTATGTCTCTCTGCGGCGGTTTGTACGTGTACGCGTGCGTGCGTGCGGTTGTTCACACGAGTAGCTGTCAGGACCCAGGCATTCACGTGGACGTGTTCGACCACCGTCGTCCGGCTAACAACCATACGTTCGGTCTCCGCTAGTTTGGCTTATGACTACTCCCACACACCCTCTGAAACAGTTCTCTGAAGCAACGACAAGAGCTAAAATGCAGTGCATGAGAAGGCGGAAAATCAGGAATATTAATTATCTAAGCCTTCACTTTGACCTAACTGTCAAAACCTCGGTGCGTCGGTGGGATTCGAACCCAGGACAGCAAGGGGAAGGCTTTAGTACAGCCAACGTTCTACCCGCCTGAGCTACGAGGCCCCACCGGGCGATGCCAGTTTAATTGCATTTGGGTCAAGCTTACCTGCCCAGCTTACTGAAACGTCTGGATCCACCAAATCGGATACAGTAAGCTGACTGCCCAAGCAGGCTTTCCTAAGTAATACGTCTAGAATCTACCAGATTAGTACAAGGCGCATGTAGGTGATAGGTGTTATAGCAGATTTCAAATAATTCATTTTGACTCAATTGTGAAAACTCGGTGCCTCCAATTCTTCTTGGTGCAAGTTTACTCTGGTGCTAACCGACGGCTTTGTGGTATATTAGACTGTCCACTGCGGTAAATGCCCAAACACTGGTTCTGCAGTTTAGCAGTGTCAGAACATAACTATTCGCCAGTCTTATACGTCGTTCTTCTTAATCCCAATCATATCGATGACTTTATATGGTACTGACATTCTCAGGAAGGCCGGCATGTTATGGGTGGTCTGTGGAACTATGCTGAGGGATGAGGCTGTGGGTGTAAGTTAGTCAGACCTCAGTTTTAAGAAATTTAATCAAGGATTTGAGGACAAAACCGGCTGCCAGGTCCTGTTGTTAATCCAAGAAAACCAATGAAAGACCCGAGTCTAAATTGTCTTTTTCTTTAGGTATTCCTTGTTTGTAATGCTGGAGCATTTAAAATACTCATGCAAGCCTACTCGCCACTTATGCAACCCAATCGTTCTTATCGGAGTAGAAATGGCGCCAGGAATAAAGCCATACATCCGCAGATCTCTTTTCTCATTAGTGGGCATTGGACTTATCTTAAAATTACCTAGTAGTTGAAGGTTTGGTGCCCGTGAATGTTCTCTGTGCGTCAGTTGCCCTGCCATGGAAGTTCCCTGACACCTGGTTTCTTGATGGTACATGCACTTGCGCTCCCGCTGCGTATAAAGGTGATGAGCATGACTGCCCAGTCATCATCTTCGTTCTTCTGACCCCTGTTGGGGTGTTGTTGCTGCTACTGTTGTTGTTGGTGGTGGTGAAAAACCTGGCCATTTGCTGTGCGGACCAGAGGGTATGGAGCGGAACGCCAAGCTGCGGGCTCTGCCACGCCACCCACCTGCGCCCTCCCCGTCTTCTTCGTTCTGTCTTGAAACCGAGTCCAATTGGGGAGTGGGAAAGCGAGAGTGAGGTAGGCGCTTCGCAGGTCCACCATCACTATAAGCTTATTCACGCTCGAGTCACCGTGTCTATTTCACCTTTCAGTAGATGTAGTCGACAGCGACTGTCGAACTGTTGTGTGGCACCTTAGTCCCATTCACGACTAATACAGTTCGGCCGAGAGCTGTTCACTTTTTGCCGTCGGGGCTGTCGTGTTGTTTATCAATCTGGAATTTGGGTCTGACTTGCTGGTGATAGTCAACACATCGCAAAAGGTCATTTCAACTTCCCGGTCTCCAGCAACGCCGTTCTGGGTCATTAATTATTTTCTTCCGCTTTCTGATAGTTCGGAAATATTCGAGCCTCCTCCCGAAGCCAAAACGGGATTATTTCACCCAGCTTTGAGATCAGATTTCATCCTGTGGTATGAACTTACTTCACGACGATCCTGGTCAGAACTTGGTCTGCAAACAGGTGTTCTCGGATTTGGTTGAAATTCGCGTAGTGCATTTTGTTAGTGAAAAAAGACGGCAGGTGGCAGGCACATCTGGCGTTGGCAAAGGTAAATGGCCATTTTCTTCATGATGCCGACCGTCTAGGCGGCTGATTGCACCCTCTCCCACGCCCCGAGTGGGTTGCATGACTGTCCTTCTTAGCTGGAAGCGGGTGCACACGAGATTATGGCAAGTGCAATTCGGACTGCAATGAATGCGCGTAATTACCGAAATGTTTTCGAGAATTTCCGTGACACCGGTTGGACGAAGGCTCGCACCAGGCAAGGACTCAGCACTTGTTTACCGAATAGGAGAGGGAAGGCAGAGTACGCCTCATCCATGGGCATCCTTAATTATGACAAACTAGCACATGTATTAGAAAAGGCACGGCGCGTTTCAATTCGTCACGATGCATCTCTACAAGTCGTAATTTCAGACGGTGACGGTAACTCGCTGCACAGTCAGAATGGTCATAAAACAGAAATAACTACTTCTCATATTGCCTTAAATTGCACCTCTTACGAATGTGTGATTCCAGTCCATATGTAGCTTCCGCAAGACTTCAGCTCACGTTCGTCACTTCACCTAATCTTACTCTCACTCGTCATGTCTGAAACGTGATCATTGATATTAGTGAAAGGAGGGAGGAGATGATGTCCAACTAACTCGGATGCGACGCTTCACTTCTCATTATTTAGACATTGAACGCATTTTCAGCAATCAGTACTCGCTAACGGTTGTGACTTTCAGAGTTATATTCAGACGGAATACTTTGTTCCTAATCCAGCCTGGTACCTCTTACTCCCGTGATATTCACACGTTCAGCTGGCGATGATGCCGTGTATGGCAGGCGTACACAAACTGTAAAATCTGGTCAGCCAGTGCGATGAGATCCTCTTGCTGTCGTTTTGACATGAAGCTGTACAATGGTCCTGAGCGTTCACAGATAGTTCTTACGGAACTCACTCATTCCGGTGTGCCTTACGGGCTCTCTATCTCGAGCACAACCAGCAGTTGCACTGCGGCGCATGATATAGGCTGAATGCGATTACCGACAAAGACAAGGGAGACTGGAATGGCCATTTCTGGCCTATAAGCATTCGCCTAGATCATGCACCACTGTGCGGCTGCTGGTTAGGCTCGAGAGAGAGCCCGTAAGACACAACGGTCGGTGAGCGCCGCGTAGCATTGTATGTTCCCGATCGAAAACCGACAGAGCAACGGGCCCGTGGTCCCGTTGATAGACGCGTTGGATTTCTAACTAACAGGTCGCGAGTTCGAGCCTCGGGTGTTTCACAATTCGCGGTTGGGTATGACTGGCTGACGACGGCTAAAAAGACGGAAATGGCTATTCCAGTCACCCTTGTCTTTGTCAGTAATAATATGAAGTTGTATTTGGTATAGTTAGCGCAAGCCCATTTTACTCTAAGCGAGTAGCATGCTTTTCAAGCTGGACAACCGTGGTTTTCATCGCTGGCTGTGGACGAAATACCAACCACGTCCCCCTCCTCCCCACTCGACCTTGACTGAGGTCTTAACCTCGAGGCTGAACGAAGTCACAGATATGTTTGGTCTACCGTAACAGAGCAGACTTGGAACTGTAAGCCACTGATACGGATTTAAACGTCGTCACCATTCCAAATTTCCGTATATCTCAGGCACGTGACTGAGTTATGCTTGAGTCGCGACACAAAAATAGTCACTGTAGGTCCTTGACCATTCCCATCGGTGTCTACTTCCGTCACTCGTCCACCTTCACTTAGCGGTTATGGAAAAAACATCTTGTGTAGTGTCCTTACGCGACCACCTGATTTGATGAAAATTCCGAGACCTCGGGGTTTGATGAAAGCGTGGTCATAAAGGAGCCAATGGACAGCCACATTTACGAAGGCCACTTTTATCACTTTTTACTGTGAGTGACTAGGCAAGTTGCTGCCGCCTTGGATCACAGTCCTTACACTGAAGATCCACCAAGTGGTACTGAGACCTGACTCTTCATCGTATTGACTTTGGTTCACTAAACGGCAAATGCAACCTGAGTTAAATTCGTCTTTAGTATTCGGGGTTTACTTGTCCCAACTCTATTCAAAAGATGGTCGTGCGTGTAACGTATAGTTTCCTGCCAGCCATTTGCCTGAAAGTTTGATTCAGGTTCAATGTGGGCGTTATAGGAAGACTTCATAGGACAGACTTCATTAAGGACTTTATTGTGTATACTACTATGAGGCCTTGAGCAGCTGCAACTTAATCGTTCCCAACGCTGCTACAACCACCCTTTTCACCGAACCCATAAATTGCGAGGGGTAGCAGGACCCAATGCCGTACTGCTGGAGGAAGGGGAGGGGAGGGAGAGGAGGAGAGTCTCCATTTGCCCGTAGGGTTTTGATAAAATTGTCCCTTTTATCCACCGCCTAATCTCGTGTAGCTTTCGCATTTTCATCACTGCACTCATTCCATCCACGGGAATTCTTGTTGTTGTCTATGTTGCATGTGGGCGCGTCACTCAGGCTGATGGCTGCATAAGCGAACACGACGTAGAGCGCCTCCGACCCGTCGGTACGCATGTACCTCGATTATATGGTTTGCCGAAAATCCACAAAGATGGCGTACCGGTTCGTCCAATCCTTGATATGAGGAACTCGCCGTACCATGCAATAGCGAAATGGCTGGCGGAAAAACTTAAGCTTCTGCAGTATCAACTAGCGTCACATAGCTGTCGAGATACTTTTGAATTCATTAACGGCGGGAAAGACTTCTATCTGAACGAAATGGTCATGTTTTCATTAGATGTCTCGTCCCTTTTTACGAACCTACCGGTAACGGAAACGGTCAACTACCTTTGTGAGTTTATTACCGACAATCAAAATGATATAGGAATGCCAGTGAATGACCTCAAGGAATTGTTATTGAGGTGTACCTTGAACGTGCAGTTCCTATTCGACAACAATCTATATAGGCAGATGGACGGCGTAGCAATGGGCTCACGCCTTGGCTCGCTTTTGGCGAATATATTCATGGGAAAGTTAGAAGCTTTCCAGCTACGTCAGCAGATCAACGGTTTAAGATACTATGGGCGGTACGTGGGTAATATATTCGCGATTGCACTGAAACTAAGTGACATCTCAATTCTGCTGGATGACATAAATCCGGCGCACCCATCAATACAGTTCACTCTGGAAGAAGAACAGTCCGGTTCACTTCCCTTTCTGGATGTGCTTCTGAGTAGAAGACCTGACGGCAGCATTCGACGCAGCGTCTATCGCAAGAAAACGTGGTCCGGACAATACACCTATTTTGGGAGTTTCGTATCGCTAAACGTTAAACGTAATTTAGTCCGGTGTTTGACAGAAAGAGTAGGAGGAATCTGCTCAGCTGATAGCGTTGAGAAAGAGCTGAAAATCATCGAAAGCCTCTTTCGCCAAAACGGGTATCCTGATCGATTCTTTGCTAAGAACATGGCCGAAAGACCGCAAAAGCCCCCGATACTGACGGCAAGAAAGAAAAGGCCTTTTATCAGGGTCCCATTCCAAGGGGATGCACAAAGTGAGCTCTTAAGAAGACGCCTTACTCAAGCTGTCTCACAGACCTTTCCAGCAGCTGACACGCGTGTACTGTTCTCCACCAGTCCCATCCTATGCGGAGAGGGCAAGGACTAACTATTAACTCGGACCACCTCTATGTGTATTTACTTCTTCACCTGTTCCTTTGGGGCGGAACATATTGGTCGCACGAGCCGGCGGTTATCCAAAAGAATGAAAGAACTTCTCCCAGCATGGTTAGGAAAGGGACAAATAAAGAATATCAACAGCTCGATCCTCGCGCACATGGTAGACACAGACCACCGTGTAGACGCCAGAGAGGCCTTCAGAGTGATTTACAAGGTCCCATCAAGCTATCCAAAACTGCTTGGGCAGCGCTTGTTGGCTACGGCAGAGGCGGCTGCAATCAGGCTACGCCGACCGGTCCTATGCGCACAGAAGAACTTTGTACAGGTCCCACAGTTACCATGATTCAAAGCCACCAAGCCAACCACCCGCACGTAATTACCTTCGCCGGGACCCACCTTCTCCCGGGCGCTGAATGGAATTGTGGTGTTTCACTCTCCCCCTCCCCTCCCCTCTCCAAATTCGAGCTACAGCTTAATTATCTACTCGCCCGTATCTTTTAATTCATTACTTCAATGGCCATATAAATGTACAGGCCTGAAGAGAATTTATCGAAAGCAGACGTATGCTCGCCAAATTGCCTTTTGGATTTTACAATGGGAATTTTCGCAACTCGGGCTGACATGATTGTTTCAAGTCTACAGGCATTAGAGAATTTAATTTGCACTTATTTTTTTTCTGGGCTGATTTCCTCCGAGTGCACCATCCACTTAGGCATTAAACTGCCTTTTTCAACAGCCGACTGGTTAAACTTCGTTCGGAGGAGCCGCTGTGAAAAGGCAGATTAGGACCAGCTGACCAGTCGCGTGAATAGCGTCTCAGGGGAAAAAAATAAAACTTCCAGGCCTATTTTAGTATCCCCTGGACGCTGTATGTTTGCTTTGAGCAAACCAGAAGACCGAACAAAACGCAGCTACTTCTGTTGCTCGTCAAGTGTCATTGTGTTTTAACTGTTCAACGTTGCAAGCGGTTCACAAAGTGGGGGTTGTTTTATTTGGAGAGAAAGCTGGTTCAAGACGCAGCAAAAGAAAGATAACGGAAAAAGAAATAGGAGGACTAAGACCAAGAGGCGACTAGCAGTCATAGCGTTCCTTCTATGCATGCATTATAAATAAGTGCGGAGACCGTTAGGGCGGATTTATTGGTGTCTTCTAGGGGGCAACGATGGCTTTGATGTTTGATCGTAGTCATCCCAACAGCGGTAAACCACACTAAATTCAAGAACTGAAAACACGAGACCTTACAGTATATACCCGTCCCGATGCAAAGACATAACAGAACGATGGCTGTAATCATATTAGTCATTGCATTTATCCTATTTACTCCTATTTGAGTTCGACCTTCCTTGAGGAGGACTGGGTATGCATCGATTTCATGTTTGGGAAGAAAAACGTGCTTAAAGTCTCACTGCAATTGCGCAAAGTCACAGGGGGGAATTAATCACAGCCGGATGGACTCACCTGCTCCGGGCTTAATATACGTGCTACAGTGGACAGTAAATAATCACATTATAAAAGGCTCCTCTCCAAGTCGCATCCTGATCTAATATCGAGGAAAACGCTCGCCTGCGAGCTGGTGGTTTTCAAAGCCAGCAATCGCATTATTAGATGTTGGAGAAAATCTCTCGTTCTTCCTGTCTTAACCGTTTGTAAGTAAGCAGACCAGGTAAAATGACTTCAGGTAGGTTTGGTATAAGCGCGCTACAACGACTTTGCTGATTGGCTGCGGCAGGTGAACCCTATCTCATCGAAACAGTCCGTTTAACACTGAATATGGACTTGCAGTTCAGTAAATAAAATAGGATAGTATCGGTGATAAGGAGTGAGCCAGATGCCGCGCAAGCACTTCATATTACAGTCGAATTTATGCACACATCCTTCGCATCAAGCCCCGTCCCTCTGATAGCAGCTCACAGACGTGCTAGTCCACCTCAACCCGGATTGGCCTCATGTTCTCTGCAATGGTTAATTCCCCCTAAGGAGTTGATCTTGGGTATGGAATCGATGATGGGTTTTTTTAACCCTAAACGTATGCATGGCTGAATAGAGACCTTCAAAGACAGTATACCTGATCTCTTTTCACTTACACTCTAAGCAGACGCAAACGGAACCCTGTTACAGAGCATATAGTTTTCCACCTCATGTGTGCAAACTTGGAACTAACTGACTTAAGAACGATCATACATCAGCCGGCACCAGGAGAATCCATACTGACTGGTTCGCCCAGATAGCGTCTGTGGATCAAACTTGGGGAACGCTAAATGGAGCTCCCGATGTGCAGCTTGTTAATGTTGAGTCCGAAATTTTGCCGTCTCCCAGGGTCGCATTCTTGGGCCTGTCTTACCTGCTCGTCGTCTACTTTGATTCAAACCGCTCACCGGGGATTCCACTTCGCCAAATAATACTAGCAACCCTAATATCAATGACCCTGCCCATGCAGACTGAAGAGTCTCAGTCGACTTCTGCGACAATATAACCGCGACCCTCGGAGCACCTGATTGCTTCCCAATTCACAATCATAAACTGATAGAGTTAGCCATCGTTGATTGAGGCGATCAGTTCATTACCCATGCCATTGGTTCCATTATCCGCCTCTGCGTGTTACCAAAGTAGGTTTTAAACCAATAGGGACAGGCGGACCCCGGTACAGGCGAACTATGCCGCCTGATCAGGGTAAATGCCTCCAGCCGGCTACAATGACCTCCCATATACCAACGTGCCGTGCAATGGCAGAAGATAAAGTGGACATCGTTGAACGCACATGTTTGTCAAACCGTATTCTGGAGAGCAACTTTTAGCCATGGTCCATTTCTGTTGTTCCCGATGCGGCTTTGGGTAAGATTTAGCTGCCGCCTTCGGAACCGTCGATCGTTAGTGGTCATATTTATACGCATGTATGTAGAGGCAGAATGTTATTACCGACAAAGACAAGGGAGACTGGAATGGCCATTTCTGGCTTATTAGCCGTCGTCAGCCAGTCATACCCAACCCCGAAGTGTGGCACACCCGAGGCTCAAACTTGTAACCTGTTAGTTGGAAATCCAACTCCTCTAACCACTGGGCTACGGGCTCGTTGTCCTGTCGGTTTCGATCAGGAATATACAATGGTAGAGGCTCGCTCACTGATCGTTTCTACGGAACTCACTCGTTCCGTTGTGCCTTACAGGATCTCTCTCGAGCCCAAAGAGCAGCCGCACAGCGGCGCATGATAGAGGTTGAATTTTATTACCGACATTCAGGCCTGTGCAATAATGTACGTCGCTACGAGGCAGTGAAGGATAAAAACAGCCTGTGTACAAGAGACAAGCCAAATTCCCACGCCTGCTGATACTTGCGACAGCAGTAATGTTGGCCATAGGCTTACCCAAACCGGTCCTATGCACGCAGAAGACATTCTTTCGGGCTAAATTTTAATTCCAACACCGCTACGCCCTACCGTGTTACGCTGCAGCAACAGAAAACGGACATCTCAAAAACAACCTTCCCATCCCTTGTCTAGAGTCCCTACACACCACTTAACCCCTCCCCCCACCTCACCCTTCTGTCTTGCCATTGTTTTCCACCTGTCACTGGTCCCAGCGTGGCACATACTTTCGCGTGCGTTTTGGACAAAACCGCTGAGAATATCTGTTAGCCGCTTGATCTATGAAAAAATATCAAAACTAGTGACCGAAGCCAAGTATGCATATTCTTTTTGGTTCCGGTTATTTGCAAACTAAGTGCAATAAAGCTGGTTATGCCACTGGCTGTTCGACTGTCGTTGCCGACGATATCCACCGCGTGTTTCTCAGTGAGGTGAATCGGCACGGTGACTTGCGCTTGATTTACTTTAGAGTGAGTCTGGGCTTGCTTAGCGTCTACCGCACTCTCTCCATCTCCCCAACCTGGACCTGGTGTCAACACAGAGTTAAGAACACTGGAGGTGCGGGAAGGCGCAGGTGGATGGCGCGGCAGAGCCTGCGCCTAGGCGCTCCATTCCACATCACTGTTCCGCTAGTATCAATGCGACCGACACAGGGTCGGACAATCCGCCTCGTTTGTTTTGCTAGCAACTGATAAATGTAACCAAACCTCAGTCCGTTTCCCAATCGTTCTTCCCATTACAGCACGGATATTCAACTTTCTATTTGTAGACTATCGTCAGTGTGTACATCACTTGCATTTGACTATGTTTTATGCATCTTAAAAGAATCTTTTGCGAAATACTCACGAACAATCGAAGGAAGTAATTGTGTTAAACTAACTATCTTACAGCTTTCATTTACGTGTGATCTTATTTCGTAGCCGCACCTGTTAGAGTTCAGGGCCAGGGGTTGGTGCTAGGGGTTAAGGTTAGGTGTTAGTCTAAAGGCTAGGGATTCGGGTTATGGGTTAGTGTGGGGGGTAGTGTTGGGGGGGGGGGGCTTGGAGTTGGGGTTAGGGCTTAGAGGTTAGTGTTAAACCCTCTACTTCCACCGGTCCCGTATGATAGACGACTGGGGCTTGTTTACTGCAGGTGCGGCCGCGAAATAAGATCTGACCTACATTTCTTCTAGCGTTTCCGTGTTGTTATTTAAGGCAGTATGGACTAATTCTTCTCAATTATTTCACTCTTCCAGTTTGGATTCCTCTTCCTGGCCCTTCTCGGTGTAGTAATGCTAACGGCACCGGAGTTCCTGCGAAAAATCATCGACTGGTTCCTCTACCGGTTTGCCGTAGACGATGAGCTGAGAGCTATCACAACATTCATCAAGGATAACTTCAGTAAGTCTGCTCTTCTCACCCTATCCTTGACAGTATAAGCTCTCTCTCCCAACTGACGATTGCTGACGGCTCAACCGCACAATCGCAATTTGCGAGCATTCTCGAAGGCTGGTTGTGCTTCCTTATTGACCGAAATTCTTTTTTATGCTGTCAGATTTACAAGCCAGGCCGACTTAGTGGTCACAATGGGTTGTTTTTAGTTGTGGACTATGGTTATGCTTGCGGTTGCAGTGATCCAACTTGATTTTAAAGCCAGCCTGGGCAAGAGCTTACTTCGTGGCCGCACCTGTAAGAAATTAGGATTAGGGGTTAGGGTTAGAGGTTGGGGTTAGAGGTGAGGGGTTGTGATAAGGGCTTGGGGTTTAGGTGGTTAGGCTGGTGCTTGTCAACTGCAGGCACGGCTACAAACTGAGATCCGACCCCAGTAGCGTGTTTACAGTAATCAACCACTACAAAGGGAGTTGGCATTTAACACGGTAATAAGCTATTCCTTTAATATTTTAGGGCTTCACCGCTGAATATAGTCAGCAGGATGATTAAGGCTTTTGTCCCGACCGAAGGCTAATCCACATCTTGCCTCTTATTCATTCCCGTGAGCTTTCTCATCACTTCTTTGGGAATCCAAAGCAGTGGACAGTCTAGCCAAGAACGCTCAAACGAGACAAGCATCTATGGACACTGGCACGCAAAGTTTGTTGCAGCCTCTTGAAGCCAAAGACAGGTGGCTGATAGTCTATAAACTGAACTGTAAAGTCTTTTCTCCAGCCAAATTCAACTTCAGACTAATATTGGCAGTCAGTAGGGGCAGGAAATACTAGGTTCCGGTAGTATGTGGGAAAAAGACGGCAACTTAATTGTTGGCACAAGAAGTACATTTGCTCAGCAACTGAAATCCACACCAAGACCAATCGAAAGATGCCACAACGGATCCAGGTAGGGATTCAAGCATGAGTCGCAATAAAAACTTCAATTTGCCGGAGCTACTTGTTTTAATTAGTACATAATCGCATGCTAATTGCAACCCTTGTGAGTTCATTGCCCTAATCTCTTGCTGTCTCCCGCGATGTGTTCGAGCGTGAATCCTAGAGGCTATTCGCCTTAAATTCTTGTTTTAGCAATTAAGTCACCTTTTTGGTCTTGTCTGCCTTGAGACCAAAGTCCTTGAATGAGTTCGGGTTCCCTCTTAGTGCATTTTAGCCCATAAATTGGCATATTCGTATTCATTTCAATATGGACTTGTATCTTAAATGAGATCAAAAAGTCTCAGACATCGCAGCTACTCGCACTCTAACTCAGCGTTGTTTTTTAAGGAAGACCCACACAAGCCTTACATTTCGACCGGTTGAGAGTATAGCTTGAACTTGCAGTAGGAATATTTTTCCATTTATCTTTGAGACTCAAGTCAGGCAAGTTCTTATTTCTAGACGCGTTTTTGGAACTTTGATTTCTCATCGTCCTTCAGCAAGAAGGTACAGCAATAGCAAATCCAGTTCTTGATGCGGTGAATGTTTGATCATTGGAAAGTCCTAGTGCAAGCAGTCCTTTGCTGAACTACCAGAGAAGAATGTTGCTCTATAGTTGTTCCCTGCGTCCTAAAAGAAAATTCACACAAGGCAATGCAACCTTTCTTCGGGACCTAAAGCGGGCTTATTAAATCCGAAACTAGTAGACCAGTCTGAATATTTGTGAAGATTTTACGTAGGACTGATCCATGTGGACATCTGAACAGAACATAAGAACAGGAACTGCCTACAAAACGGGTAGTTCTGAGCCAACTTCCAGTGAGTTTAGGGTTAACGGGAACGTAAGCCAGGATCAGGTTTAGGGTTGCGGTGGGAATTAGTTTTAACTGCAGAGTTAGAGGTTAATTTGGGATCAAGATTAGGGCAACGACATGATCTTATATTAGGGCTATTGTTGGGGTTAGGACACAGGAATATTGTGCCTTTTTCTACAGTTATGCCCAGATCCATCCCTATTTTTTGAGAGGAGCGTTCCTATTTCCATGTCCTGCTTAGACATCCACATAAGTCGGTCCCACCAGACTTTATTCCAGACTGGAATTCGCCCTCCCATAAATAGCATACTTTCCGCACTAAGATTCTAGCAGACGAGTTGCGTATTCTCTATGTTAGACCCAAGTGTGAGCTGTGGTTAGGCCAATAGCCATTGTCTAAAGACCGATCCTTATAATTCGTCCAATTTTTGGTCTAGCCTAAAGTGCAAGTATTGGATTAAAAATCTCCGGATCCTTCCCGAATTCTCCTGGAATATCGAACTGAGGCACTGTTATTTTCAGCTGTAAGCCTCTGGCTGTAACACAAAATGCACTCAGAGACTGGTTCGTCATGCAAACAGGAACTTGAGGATCACCAAGGATCGCTGACTAATCATCTGGACCCCCACAGCTACGTTCAACACATTGCCACTGCTTAGCGGTCAGATTTATAGCAATAAGTCTGAAATCTTTGAAAACGTAATTTAATCTATATGACATTTCAGACGTATGGTCATTGAGTAACCTCATGAAATGTTAGCCGGCGATGGATTACCCAAGTTAGTGTCGTGGTACTGGTGACTGAGTAGCATGATTCCTAGGTATTTTTGCCAGACCAGGATGCCGGCTTTTGAATGCCCCTCTTTTTGGCCGGCCGGCAGAAATCTCATTTCATACTAAATGACTAGCCAATCAGAATGAGCCTGTTCCATTAGTTTCAGAAGCTTTTTAGTTCGGATGTGGTTATTTAGCCCCACCTGAATACGGTACTGGTGGTAATAGGAGATTTCACAGGTAGGGCCGGGTAACACGCCCGCGACGAGGTCAAGTAATTGTAGGCAAGAAAAAAGCTATCAGGAAAGCGCGGTTGTGCTTTGCGTGGTTGAGAAATAGTTGCCCTAACCCTAAGCTCCAGCTATAACCCCTAGCTCTTACCCCTAATCCTAGCCCCCAACTCTGGCCCCGACCCAAACAGTATTGTGTCCATCAGGTAGGGCTACATAAACACATCTTACCGCCTTTTATATCAAAATATATTTTGCAGAAAACACGTTCAAAAACTTTACTTCTTGTATAGATTTGATAGGTAAATGCGCCTTCCTTGAATTTTGCACTGGAAGAAGTCTTATATGTCGGTTTTAAAAGATTGAGTAACTACGCGTTTTTTAAGACTGTATCGGGGACATCCAAATAGCATCCTATTTGTCTATTTATAAATGTTCCTTCTCAAGTTAGCAAAGTAGTATACGCTTCTCGGAAGATTATCCGAGCCTTATGTGATATAACCGTAATGCATAGAGTAATGTATGGTTTTCTAAACATGGAGAGTATGTAGCTTGTAAGTTGAAGACCCTTGACTCAAACGTATTCATGAATTTAAAGAACTTTCTAAAACGCAACTTTAACCTTTCTTGAAGTACAACACTCAAGGAAGGCATGATTACCCAATAAATATTGCAAGAATGTATATTTTCCAACGCTTATTTGCAAAACGCCCTTAAAATTATAAGCGTATAGTTAATTAATCGAAGAAAAGCAGTGGTATTCGCAAGCGGCCAGAAGGAAGTGCATTTCGAAGCCGGCGTCCCGGTGAAACTGAAATACCTTGAGATTATGCTGCCCTGCAGGCAATATTACAATCCAACCTAAGCAATCCTTTCTAATCGTTAACGCATTTTACAATTTAAGTCACCAGTTCATAAAACTAGCCGCCGACTTTACACTCGAAGTTGGTTTTAAAGCCTGTAAGAAGCGGATCAGGTATTTAAAAGGTATGATTTCAGCGCTACCCACACTTGTGAAACTAGTGAGTGATCGTCGGGATTTTAATTCTTGACAGGAAATCTGTTTGGCTGATCTAGTTTAAGAGGTCGTCAGCCCTGACTTGCTTGCACGCGTACTTTAATTATCTCAAAGATCGCTTGATAACTCTGCTGCCCAGTTGATTACTCACTCTCCCGCTGGGGGTAAGCAAATTGTTCGATGCATCTTGAAGCTGCATCTTCCCAGGATAATTCTTTGCTCTCATTAGTCAGTAGTTCGTGCAGCCTCTCCATTCGCAAACACAGGGTTGAGCATAATTCTTATCTACCCGTTCGCATCTTTTTCTGTCTCGGACGAGGGGACTTGATCGCGGGAAGTGTACAAGCAGTTGAAGTGGCTTTTTTCCTGTTTGCGTGCAGCGACCGAATCCCGTACCTTCCAGTGCTAAACTTACGCAACCGCACATGCGTCTGCCACCCGTTTGCGGGGTTTGCCCCCCCCCTGACAGACAACAGCGTCTGACTGAGTAGACATGTTCGTTTCTGAAACTGCAACATTAACTACCACAAGGCATATATATATATATACCGCCTTCATCATCCCCCGCAGAAAACGAAGAAGAGGAAGAGAGAGCGAATTCGGGAAACTGATTGCATTTGAATTGACGAGCGACTGATCGAGTAAACTTTTTCATTTCCGAAATAGCAATATTAATTACTTTTTTTGAGAGTGTCTATCATAATCTGCTGGACGAGCGTTGAGTTACTGTTATGGTTTTTGTTCCTTCTCACACCGGCAGCTACCCTTTCAATGGCCTTAATTACTGTGGGCCTGATCTTCGCCTGCATAGCGTTCATCGGCGCCTTTGCCTCCTGCTGCGAATGCACGATCGTTCTAGGCGTCGTAAGTTCATATACAGTCTGTCATTTTAATCCATTTGTATTATAAGCGAGATGGGTTGTACAGTTTTCCGATAGAAGACCCTCCATACTTTATCACGTGATCTGATGCCTTGTGCTTGCGTTATGCGACCTCCGTTTGCTTCTTGTATTTTTGATCTATTTGACCGTCCGACGCTCAACATTAAATTTAACCCTTATTGGCGGATAATGAGAATGTTGAACTACTTACCTATGACGACCAACGGTTGCAATTAATTTTTGAGGAAATAAAAAAGCCGCAATTTCAGAGCTGGAATATCTGCCAGACAGCAAGTAGGAAATGCCGAAGGATTCGCTGATGAGCCAAACTCCTCGCAGCAGTGTCATGGGCTTTTAACTAGTACCTGTGCTGTCAGTTATGTTATATCGTGCTATTTCAGTATATACTACTGGCTGCCTGTTAGCAGTTTGTAAATATTACGTACTTATTCAGCAATGGCAGATGGAAGTCGCCTCAAATATTCGTATGAAAAACTCCAGTCTAATCCTACAAGCCTCAAATAGACTGATTTAGTCCAAGTTCATAGATGTTTTGGCAGATTTTGACTTATTCATTTTAACCCAACTGTGAAAAACTCGGCGCCTTGGTGGGATTCGAACTAACGACAGTAAGTTGAATGCTTTAATACAGCCAACGCTCTAACCACTTGAGCTACGAGGCTAAGTGTTGGCTGTACTAAAACCTTCGCCTTACTGTCGTTGGTTCGAATCCCACCGAGGCGCCGAGTTTTTCACGGTTGGGTCAATGTGAATTACTCCAATTTGCTAATTAATTTCTGGGGAAATTGAAAAGCTGCACAACCGCCTAAATAGGGGGGGGGGCAGGGAGACAAGAGTTTTTTTTCTGTGGTTAGTTAAATTTAGAAGGCGTGAGACTGCGCGATTGTACTCATCTTTGTGTTTTATAGGACCTGAAATAACCTTTATGTGATTTTATCATTTTACGACTTTAACTCATGACTCTTCTAACACCCACTTAATATGTTGAGCGTCGTCAGGATAGGAATGCGATCCATGCGTCAGTTCTCACAGTAGCCTAACCCAGCATATATAGAATAGTCGTCAGGTGGTCGTATGTGGCTGCTTAAATTTCCCAATCACTGCGCTCACACCCACTTCCGGTCGCCTAGACACGCACCAGTCACCACTGCTGGGCTCCTCTCGTCGTCCAGCAGCAGAGGAAGCCGTCGTACGCGGAAGGCGAACCGCTTTAAGTTGAAACGCGCTGTCGCTGATTTAGAGGCTGCCTGTGCAGCATAGTCGTTCAAGTAACCAGGAAGGGCTGGACGATTTTTCAGTAATTATTTCTCCACCCGGCGAAATTGCATAGCGGATGGAATTGTGAGCGACTATTGTCGTGTGCCTCAAACGTGACTGTTTAACTGATTGCGTAGTCTTGATCAAAACTTGTCCAAGACGAGAACTTGCTGACAGGTCAGAATTTTTATCGGTAACAGCAAAATGCCAAGTGCCGAAACCTTTGCCCAGGGGCCATCGATCAGTCATGGAAGTTATTAGCACGATATACGGCCGTGTTAAACGTTTCTTTCAATTCCCGCAAAATGACAATCTTTCCACCTTCCTCATTTCGGGTAACAGTAGGGTGTAGGACCCCCAAGTAGATGGCAACTCAAAAATGTACAGTAAAATTCCGCGTGGCTGTAAACATCACTTATCATTCGACGTTCCCGTTAGTTTTATTTTCTTTAATTTCCTGACAAAGAGTTAACTTAACAGCGACGGCTTATTCGAAGTCCGCCATTTTCTGAAAATTGCTTTTTTGCCCATTTTTAAATTATCGCGCTCACTTTCTTCAAACGACAGTATGTGATAAGACTTTCGGCAGACATTTATCCATCTTCTGTGGTTTCTTGCTATCCGTCCCGTGTGTTGCCCCACACGTAAAACCCCTCTACCACTATTCAACATGCGACACGGTCCACAGGCTAGCCCAAGTTAGTTGGGGATCCTACATCCTACAATTGCCGCACTTTGTCATGACACAGCCGCTGTCTACCCTGTTCCATGTGGTCTTTTATTCCTTTATTGAACTATGGAAACCTTGGCAGGTTTTGTGCACACTTGTTCTCACATAACGCAACGTTTGGTGCATTAACACTCCTCTGAGTATCTTATTTCTAACAAGTCTCAGTTCTTGCCACTCCATTTACGGTCTTCCCAAAAAAGATAGCTCTAGCAAACATAGTTAGAATATCCAAGACGCTACGTCAAAAATAGAATGCTTTTTAATATATTCGATATATCGTATAATATATGCCATATAATAATATATAATACATTTTGTTTTTTGAATTTGACAGTACACAGCCCTCCTCGGAGTCTTTCTGGTCCTCCAATCATTACTTCTGGCAGTTCTCTTTCTGGACAAAAATCTAGTAAGAGGTTTCCTTAAAATGCTTTCATTTTGCAAGCACGAGTTGGCAGAAAAATCTGCATTTACCACTTTCTTTTTTGATCTCCGATGTTTGAGCTGCTACCGCTAGGATAATTGAACATTTTACCTCAAAAACTACCTTGCTCTAATGCCGTGCGCGCATATACATCTTCGTAAAACTCCCAAACCCTTCCTTTACCCTTTAGTCAGTACTTTAAAGCGGACCGCTCGGGTTGCATGCTGATCTTTGATTGCGGCCAACTTTCCTCGGTCCGTTTACTGTTGCGTGACTGGGCGCAAGAATTCGCGAAGGAGCCGGGCCGGTGTGGAAACACGCACCCTGAATGCGCGCTCAAACCTTACTCTGTCCTGCCACCAATACGGCCATCACATTGCTTTTGGTACTTATCATGCAGGAAAGCGAGGCCGAAACATACATCAGTACAATATCTTCCATGAGAACGGGCGAGAAAGAGAGGGGGGACAATTTTAAAGCGCCGGTGGAAGCAGATTGCTCGCTTGCACTTTTAGATCTAGTCTTTAGTCCAGTGTGATAAATGTGACATTTTTTATATTGCAAACTCACTGATCAACACCTTTTTCTGTCCTGGCATGTGGAGGCGTCGGCCTTGTTAGCAATCAGTAATCTGCAAGTTCAACTGTCCACTTCAGTTTGGTTGGCAACGCTTGATACGCGGGAGAATGTTCAGAACGTATGTTTGGAGAGGACAGACCTGATTTCCACACGTTGATTACCTTGCTCTCGTTTGCTAAAGCAAAGGAAAAATTAAAGATTTGCGGTTTTTCCGAGAAGGAGGAACTAAATTTCAGATCTGTAAAAGTTTAACCTTGCCTCAATACAGCCCGGACTTCCGTTTTCGCCTAATTTGCCCTATGTAGTTACAAGGACAGTTTACGCACAGAATGTGGAAGGTGAAATTTGACTATCCCCCGAGGCGTGCTCGATCCGACTGCGAATTATAATCACGATCAATGGATTATATCAACTGCCCTTTCACGGGGGATATTTTTCGTAGACTAGATATAATCTATAATGCTGTCACTAGTTGATGGCATAAAGGAGGACCGTTTAAACTCGGAGATAAATTACACATTCATAAGTTGTTTCAGAATTACATTCAAGCGTATCCTTGAAGATAAAGGATGAAGAGCGATGGCAGTTCTAGAAAAGAAGTGCTTTACCCTACTCTAACGTATCACTAGCGAGTGATCAAATGTTGGAAAAAGGACTTGGTGGGTTGGCACAATTGTACTAGCATGTTGATTGTGTTGACAGCAGACTTCCAGTCCTCGAATATCACTCGACACTTCCGCCGTAGGTAATCCGACCTATTTTTTACTGTTATGACTTAATTCCCTTAAAAAGGATGCTAACGTACTGTAGAGATGACCTCATAATCTTAGTTCAGACATACAAGGATTTTATAAAAAATCAGTATATCGAAGGGAAATAGGGAGAGGACTGTACCGTTTTTAAAATCCGCCGCTACAAAAGTGGCGGCTCAAATTCAAAAACCCGCCGTGGTTATTCGCAGTGCATGGCCACTGTAGTGGAACCGGCGAATTTCCGTACCGTCTGAACAATTCCATTAACAGGTCTACGTAACTGCTCGCTTGATTAAGACTCACGTGCCAACTAATACCCGAAGTAGCCGAGGCTGGCGTATAGGCCTCATCCTCCGTGTCGCAGTGACTCACAGGAAGGAAGGTTCAAATACACGCATGTAGCAAATTCATTAAAAAGCTAACCATATGGTGTCAATCAAGTGGGGCTGCAGGACCAAACATCGCACAAAAAATTTTATTGCGAATGTCTGATGTCCATGTACAGGTCGAATAGCTTGAGCTGCGTGTGCGATGTAGCTTTTCCCATTTGCACCAAGGGAGGTTCCATTACCCCATTATAAGTCACTTTAAAGGGTTACACGACCTTTCCTGACTACGCTGTGTGGCTAGCGCCCATTCTTCGGAGTTTCTTCAAACGCCAACCTTTTCCTAATCAGTCCATGTTCTGTATTTTATATATTCCATCCAATAATGACGCGAGTGTTGAGAACCTCAATTCCTAACATCTACGGCTAGCGATTATTTCCAGTCATCTGTCCGATGACATCTTCTCTTTCTCTTCCGTGCTTTCAGTATATGCGGGCGGTCACGGACTCCCTTTCCGGATTGATCCGAGACTATGGCAGTGAGACGGGAGTGGCGACCGCCATCTGGTCTGCTATTATGCGTGAGGTGAGTCGTACTCATCTTTGTTTCTCAAACTACCACCAATTCCGTGATGCTTACTTCGAATTTTTGATGCTGCCTCTGCATCGCGGGTCTTTACACTATCTGGGCAGAAGATTAAGCATGGTTTCGTTTCATTAACGGACAAAGTAGCCTTGCGTGAAAATTTGGTATCAGGGTGTCCTGTTCTTGGTCGGTGATCCACATTAGAATCCTCGCAGGTCGTAGCGCATAAACTAGCAGTTACCCTTGAAGGACTTGTCGGTGATGTCGGTCTGCCTATAATACTAGTCACTGAGCAGCCAACGGTGAAACTCGAGAACGAACCTCAAGGCATAACGGGACAAGTGTGCCTTATAACACGATCGGTGGATGCCCCGTCTATCACAGTTTCAGTAATTCTTTACTTCCCATTTACTTCTTAGGCAGCGACGTTTGAGGAACGCATTTTCTTGGACTAGTGAGACCTCATCGCTGCGCCTCTGTTGATGGGTTTCAGAGCTAGTCCGTAAATACAGCCAAACAGTTTCTTCTTTCATCTACCAAGTCTCTTCTCCATTTTGCAGTGATTTCGTTTCCGAGTAGTATGTGTCTACAGATCTTCGGTGTCATTCTCATTTAATGGCAAGTGTAGTGCGGAAGCCCTTCCTCCAAATATGCCTGAGTAATGACTCTATGTGTGGCCTTCACTAATCACCGGATGAACGACGATGTGTCGATTTAACTCCATGAGATTCAAGGTAACTTCAAGGACAGTGTATGCAAACATTTTCTGGCTGAAGTCGAATGCATTTCCGGCTTGACTGGCTTTAGGGGCGCCCCTCAGCATCCAGAATAGAGTTTGTTGTGATAAAACAAAGAGATGCCGGCAATGAGCTGTGGCATACGTTGGGCAATGTGGGACGAGTCTTTGGAGCTCTTTATTGACGTCGTATGTATGTAAACACACACAGCGACGACTCATTATCTGCAAAACTCGGCATTCCACCCAAACACATTACCAGTCGGCGGTAGAAACGGAACTTCAGTGAGACCGATCTTTCATCAGCCGGGGTATACAGACATTACTTTATTTCATCAAGGCATAGCATCATAGGCATCAAATAACATAATGGGTGAAGAATACATTAATCAGCATAACGCCAGATTACCGGCTGATTCACAGAAATTGACATGGAAAGTCGAATTTATTACATCATTCTTCTACTGCTGTTTAGAGGTGATTCATCGTGAATAAATCAGGAAAGACTAGGCAATATATATCATCAAGATAGCGGAAGATGACAATTAATTTGCATTAAAGGTCAAGTTGGCAAATAAACTTTTTCAGTAATTAAACGTCAGGCCTGTACGGTTGCATATAAATTGGAAATATGAGACCTTTGAGGCTTTAAAATGTCTCAGGAGTTATTAACTCGCATCGTTTCCACGGCACCCGCATGACGAGGTCGGTGTGATATGGTCATTATGGCAGAAATGAGAGCGGGTGTTGTTTGTAAGTCAAGTGCGTAGAGTACACATTACTGTCATTAGGAGGATTGGAGCGGCGTGCGATAACATCTGGAGTCAGCGTGACGACTAAATGTGATACCATTCAGTTAAAATGATACGGTTGCAAAGAATCCGTCGCATAGGTGGCCTGAGGGACTTCTTCAATGAGGGTAGCTATAAGCCAGTCCAACCTACTTACGCTCTAACCTGCGCTAACCTGATATATTTCGACTTTTTGTTCTGTTATGGCCGAAAACGAATTAAGAATTAGAGGAGGCTAAATCAACTCGTGACTATCTAAGGTAGCCAAATGTCTACGCTCCGCATGCAGTCTTTGTGTCACAGTGGGTGGAGTCCCCGATACGAGGGGTTAATCCATAAATGTCCCCAAGATTTGTCGCACGTCTGAGATGTGTGATTTATCGCTTCTTTTAAATCGTTAAAAGGATACTCCACACAGTTTGGATTGCGTCGATAAGTCGATTGGTTGGCCTTGTTGCTCCACTGTTTGTCCGAAGCGATGACGGCAGGACTCGTGCTTTGGATGCTAGACACAGCTTGGACGGAAAAACCGGATCTTATATTGTAGCCGCACTTGCAGTAGACATGCACCAACCGCCATTCATGAGGGACCGGTGATGAAAGGGGCTTAACACTAACCCAGTCGCTAGCCCTAACGCCTAAACCTTAATCTCTAACCCCAAACCCTAACACTAGCCCCTAACCCTGACTCCTAACAGGTGCGGCTGCGAAGTAGGGTCTTACCCACGGCTCACTTTTCCGTTCACAGCCCTCGCTGTCATTTCAAAGACTGCAGCTGGCCTTCGACGGCTTGGGGCGGTTTCTGCCTCTGGACCGTCTGTAGGCTGCCTGTTGCGGTGATGACTGTCCTGCTAATTATGCCTGGTCAATTATTGACTTGAGAAGTTTGCTGTCATTGCCTATCGCGAACCCTCAGTCTAGGGAAGTGACTGCCACTGGCTAAGACAGGTTTAAGTTAATTTAGAGATTTATAGGTATTTTGGCAGATTTTGAATAATTTTACATTGACCCAACTGTGAAAAACTCGGCGCCTCGGTGGGATTCAAACCCACGCAGTAAGGAAAAGACTTCAGTACGGCCAACGCTCTAACCGCTTGAGCTACGAGGCCCCGTCGGACGACTCGAGTTTAATCCCACTCGGGTCAAGTTTACCCGTCCAACCTACTGCAACGTCTGGAATCCACCAAATCTGATACAGTAAGCCGATTGCCCAAACAGGATTTCCTAAGTTATTCATCTAGAATCCACCAGATGACTACCAGGCTCACGTAATTCATAGGTATTTTGGCAGATTTTGAATAATTGTGATTAAACTCGAGTCGTCCGGCGGGACCTCGTAGCTCAAGTGGTTAGAGCGTTGGCTGTACTGAAGCCTTCTACAAACTGCATGGGTTCGAATCCCACCGAGGCGCCGAGTTTTTCACAGCTGGGTCAATATGAAAAATTAAGAGATGTCAGTCAGAGCTCCGATAGCGTTGTTAATCGTTAAAGTTCCCAATGTGTCGCGGGCGGGGTCGTGCTCAACTGAAGCCTATACACAGCTGTGGCTGACTGACCGGCGGCAGTCAATGCTCCAGCAAGTATTATCTCAGCACACCTCTCATTTGTCATTTTCGATGCTGTTTTATGGCTGGTGATCACGCGACCGCCTTCAAGTAACCCTAATGGCACCCAAAAAAGCAGCAGAAGGAGCATGCTCAGTACTGCAACTAGATCACGAAACTACCCACTAACGCAAGTTGAAATGCTGTTTTTAGGGGTGCGCAATAAATCAAAAATGATACTACCGCAGTGAGAACCTAGCTAAAGGGTCCACCATTAGTTGGCGATCTTTTCAAAAGACCTGAAAGCGTGTGCTATGCCAGTGTCAGCAAACCATGTCCTTCGCAGCCTGGTATGCGCTGGCAGTTCTCTGACACCTGGTTCCCTGCCGAAAGATGCGGTTACGCTCCCTTTGGGTATCCAGGTGGTGGGCATGGCAGCCCAGTCATCAGTCTCGTCCTTCCGACTCCTCTTGGGGTGTTGTTGTTGGTGAAAAATCCTGGTCAAGTGTATGCTGTGAGCCAGGGAATGTGATGGCACACCTAGGTGCGGGTATGGCCGTATCGGCCACCTGCGTCCTTCCCCGCCTCTGGTTTTCTTCCAGGTGGAGGAGGAACGAACGTAAGTCTTTTATTACTGTAAACTAATTCACGCACAAGTCACCGTTCCTGTTGCATCTTAGTGTGTAGCACACAGTGTACCTCGTCGGAATCGACGTCGAACTCTCGTGTGGGCCTCGTACTGGTGGCAACTCACTAAACAACGACGATATCGATGAGTCCTTGGTGGAATTTAATTAACCAGCAACATCTACCTCCTATGTCGCAAGTCGTTATATTTTTGGCTGGAGGTCGCCTTCCACGCTTTGCAGTCATTTTAAACCCTCCATCGTGTCCTGCGCATATAAAAATTGTGCCAAAATTTCTCTGTGTGCTTAGCACCACCCAGCCCCCTGTGTGTTGGCTCAATTTGAGCTGAATGCTCCGTGTATGCGTATACATGCACTTAAACTCGATTTTACACGCACCAACACTGCGGTGTTCAGGTTAACTCAATACATTTAGGGTCGCTGTTTGTTGCGGTCCAGTGTCGGAGAGCATGCCAACTTTTCACGGACCGCCATGCATTTGCTGTTGGCAGGCATCAACAGTGACCTCTAAACTGCCGGCCCGCTTCGAGCTAAATTGCTTTTGGATGCTACGTTTTATGCAAAAACCCTGTGTTCCGAGCGGCACTTTAGGCTGCTTGTATGGGTTTATGCCGTCAGGCGGTGCCTTGGGTGGCCATAGTAATTTACGGCAAAATGTGCGGCAGGATTGACATATATGGCCCATAAATAGGACATGAAAAGAGGAACATCACGCACAACTACTAAAAGTGGGCCTGCCCATAATTCCGGGAAAGGCAAAATATTCCTATGTCCTAGGCCCAACAAAACCAAACCCCTGCCTTAAGCCTGACCTCATTTTCACTAGACGTTGGCTGTCAACCACGCACCTAAACCCAACAAAACCAAACCGTTGCCTTAATTTTAACCCTAGCCCTAGAGAGATAGGAAGTCGCTTTATTTTGAAATCATAACTCTACAGTTCACACTGGCCCCTACCTTAACCCTAAACTTGATCATAACTTGCCCTTAACCTACTCCCTAACGTAACCATAGTCTTAAGCCTGACCCCATTTTCACTAGAAGTTGGCTCTCAGCCAACCACGTTGAAGCGGTCCCGGTTCTCATGTCCTGATTAGGGTGTCACATACATCAGTCCGCTCGAAGTTGTTCTATTGATTATCTCGCGGAATAATGCCGTAATATTTCAGACACACCTGGATTTTAGCGTTCTGGCTACCAGCATTGGCTGTTCGGAATGAAAAGTGATTAAGTCATAAGTAGGCGCTTCTTATCGATTTCCGATTATTTTATAAATTAAGCTTTAAACCTTAATCCTAAACCAAGCCTTAAGACTAACCCGATTTCAATGGAAGCTGACTGAAGTCCACCCGTATTGCAGGCGGTTCCTGGTCACTGGTCCTCTTTAGGATGCCATTTGAGTTAGTCCTGTAAGATGTTAATACTTACTTTCTAGAATTTATTTGAGTCAAAGTGCAGCGTAATTGAAAATGAATGTTGCCGTTCACTGCGAATCATTGCTGAGGAGGGGTAGCGGTCGAAATAGGCACATGGTTGGCCGAAAATAATCAGGTTGTGTAAGATGATTTTTGTCAAAAGCGTTGCAATCGAGACTTCTTTTAAAACTAAGTTTGCTGTAAGCCGCTATCACCCCACTTGGTAGAGAGCCCTATTGTTCGACTTTTTGTTGACTAACTAAAGGTTTCCCGAGGTCCAGTCGCATGCATTCGCTTCTGATTATATTTGGACGACCGCTTACGTGAGTTGAACATGCAGAGTCAAAGATGTCCTCTGGTTTTAGCAAACAATCATGGCCACAGCCAATCTGGAGTTTACAGAGTAAACTACTCCTAAAGTGCCTGTACGATTGCGAATTTAAGTCAAGAAGAGCAGTGAGCCTAAAACAGTACCCTGGTGGACACCATTTTCAAAGCACTGCCTATTTTCAAGTAGAGGTTCCAACAACATTTCTAGCTAGTGGTAGGGTGATGGACCAAATTGGCTGCCGGTAGACTGCGGATCGTATGCTGATTTATGTACTTACGAAATCTAGTTAAGTACTGATGACTGACAATTGTACCAAAGAACCGAGAAACAAGAAAAGAGAGATCAATTGAACATCAATTGAGGGATCCCAGAAATTACTTCCAGGAGATGGGCTCAATTGTCCGATGGTCGGGCACTCTTTCAAATTTGAACGCCAGCTGGATACCGTGTTTGCATACATTCATCATTTTAATCGAGGGTGTGGTTTATGCTCCGACCGTCTTCTGTGTTTTCACCATCCTGTTAGTTTCGAAGACGAAGATGCGATCACTGGAACAAGAAATTTATTGGCCTGACGTTTCATATTCTCACTCGAACACATCAGCAGAGACAGTCGCAGATAAGGATAATGGTGGTACAAGGAGTGCAGTATTTATAGCACATGGCTGCCGTGGGACCATACGCATGCTATAATTAACAGCTCTTGCGATCACTGCTATGGGTCGTAAATGAGGCGATGATGACTCGTCAGTCCGCGTCCGATTCGTTAATTGCCGCGATTTCGTCATCCATGTTGGATGGTGGCGGGACGATTGCTCGGCAAATTGGTTTACTATCACTAGGATTATTGCTCGCCCGCGCCCTCCCCACGTGACTGATTCCTCTGCCCAGGGAAAATTTTAGCAGAGAATATCGTAACGGGGTTGCATTGAGCTTGTTGATGGATTGCGGACATGAGAACCATGCCTACAGCAGCTAGAGTCTCACGCAGTTGTCATCCCTTGCAAGGATTTCGGCCTCTTAATACTTGAAAATATGGCCGGGTCCCGTCGAATGAGCCGCCACCCGAGAGCTAGCGTCTCCCAGCCTCACTGCTGCTGTGTGCTCGGCAATTCGCGTACGAAGTAATCTCCCAATTTCCCGACGTAGTTGCTTTGTCCGCAACTGCACCGGATCCGGTAAAATTTGGGGCCGGTTGGATTTTGCCTCTGGTGTCGTTTTCGTATGCACTGGTTGACAAAGTTGTGCGGGTAGCCATTGGCTCTCAAAACCCGTCGAAGATATTGTAATTCAGCAACCTTGTCTTGCGTTTCACCTCAGTGCGTCTCAACGCGCCGGTATAGTGCCCTTACGCAACTGCGTTTGAGACTGATGGGTGATTGCTGTATTTGCGCCGTATTCGTCGCTCAATGAAAGAGGACTTCCAGGAAGGCCAGCTGGTTGTTTTATTCCTCCTCCATCGTAAATTGAATGTCGGGAAAGATGGCGTTGAGATGCTCTTCGAATGTCAGCCACTGATCAGGTTTGATGAGGACGAAGTTATCATCCACATACCGAGCCCAGAATTTCGATCTATGGTGCCGGAAAACCAGCGACTGCAACTGTTGTAGGGCCGCCTCGGCTATGAGACCCGAAATCGGTGGATTCGTTGGCGTACTCTTCACCTGCTCGTAGACTGTCCCGTCGAGCGTAAAGTATGTCTTGAGACAGAACTTCAGGAGCTGGATGATTTGGGTGTGTCCAAGATGATTCTGTTTTTCGTTGTATTTCTCTCCTAGGAGCAGTTCGATGGTCTCGACTGCCACGTCCAGTGGGATAGAAGTAAAAAGGGACGTGACATCAATGGAAACCATGACATCTCTTGGCAGGAGACTTACCCCTTTAAGTTTCTCCAAGCATTAAATTGACGAGCTGACTGTGGTGCTCGAATCGGAGGTCAAAAATTTGAGACGTCGAAACAGTTACTTTGCCAGTCCGTTGGTTAGAGTGCCTTTCAGTGATACGATAGGCCGGAGAGGAGCGCCCTCTTTGTGTACTTTTGGGAGACCGTAGGATCGGTCTAGGGCAGTTTCTTGCGCTCTCGCCATACGTCGATCGATTGGCGATATTGCACTTGAGATATCAATTGCCAGCAGTGTCGCGTTAGTCTCGCGTGTCAGCGTTTTCATGGGTTTGGATTCGTATGGGACATAGGACTTTCGATCCTCCAAAAACCTTTTGGTTTTCTGAATGTAGTCTGTCCTGTCCAATACAATCGTTAAACGCCCCTATTCCGCGACCTTATGTGCATCGCGCTCAACCTTGGAAAGCACGTCGCGCGGCCTACGAGCCAGGAAGGAGGATCGTCCGTCCTATGTGGCTGATGAAACCAGGTGTTTGTACCGACCACAGACATTATCGATCGGAGCAGGATAGAACACCAACTGCGGCCTCCCATGAATGGGAGGAGTAGTTCTTGTGACGCCTTTTTCAATCTGGCTACTCAAAAGAACGGTATGCCAGGGATTTCAACGACTTTTTAATCGCCGAATAATTGTGAACGCGATTTGTCGTTAAATGCGCGTCTAGAGTTTTTATTCTACAGATTGTATACCCTGCGTGCATGCAAAACAATGAATTGCTCTATGCCATTAAGGTGATACCGTATATGACTCGTGGAATTCTCAAAAGATGTGGATTACATACGTCTATGCTTTGTGAGCAACATTGAAAAATGGGCAGACGCGTTGATATTTTAACTGGCATCACATGACCCTAAACAAACTCGTTCTAAGGCATTTTTAAAACCTAAAGATACCCCTTTTCCGAGTAACAAATATCAAGTAGACGTGATGTCTACCAACTGAGTACAAGAAGGAATATTTTGCGCTCGCGTGTATAAAATATAACTGAATATATAATAGTGTCGAAAATTAAGTCATAAAAGATATATAGTTACTTTTACTTGTGTGTGGTTATTTCAGCTGGCTCAAAAGAGGTGCAGTTAAAAGCCAACTCCCGTTGTGTCGAAGGGAGTTACTCCAAGTTCGTTAGTTTGTATGGAAAGCAAAATGGCCCAGTACGAACTACTGCACTTTGTTGACTGTTTGCTGTCTTGCGTGTCCTGCTTTTTTCCGTGAGATTTCTGGTCTTCATTAGGTCATTTTATCTTAAATCTGTAAGAAAGTTTAATGAGGAGCTTAACGAACATGACCCTTATAGGTCTGACTGGTGGAAGGATCCGACTTGACAACTTTCTTGTAAATTCTTTGCTTCAAACTTCTTGAGAATATGTTAAAAATAATTATCGCTGATGTTACTGGCCAAAGCCAATGGTCGGAGACTGAGCCTTTGAGGATTCCGAAAGGACAACTGAAACATCATTGATGTTTCGTCGGCACTTCCTGCATGTTCATTTCCTTAAAAACAGGCCCATCTGCTATCTGTAAGCTGTTTATTGTTCCTGACATCAGTTCTAGTACTGTAGTGATTACAGGAAACAAATGTAGTCGACCTTGACGGATGGTGAATTGTTTTGATCCCAAAGTCGGCTGAGACTGGTTGACCTTTTCGTCCTGTTTACATTGTTCACATAAAAGAGGAAATCGACGGGCCGACTGGTAGATTTGTGTCTTGACTTGTCAGTCAATTAATGGAGTTGGCTGCGGCAGCAACGAGGAAATATCCTGACAATGGAAGGTCTACTTCTTTCTGCACTGTAGAAATTGCAATAAATTTACCATTTAGTAGTATAACTGACTGAAGGAAGCATTTAGCTCCCGAGTGTGTTAGACGCTGAGAGAGGTCAAATGTCCACATACCAGTCGCCGTGAACGAATAAGTAGAATAAATTGCGGATATTAGACCCTAATACATTACTGAGGTGTGAGAGCGAAGAAGTAGTAGTATTAGGCCATGTCGTCCTTCAAGGGGACTTTTTGGGAAGGGTATCTATGCTTTAATGACCACTTACCAAACATACGCTGCTTATTAGCATTTTTCGGATAATCTGTTTCAGCATAAAGTGTTCATTAGGAGAAATTTCGCTAGTCAGCCCCGAAAACAACAAGTAAAATCACAGGTCTGGAACGCCGATCTACTCGACTCAAGATGTTGGAAAACGAACGAAATAGTACAACGGTGCCCTTCAGAATATTCTGACAGAACCACGAGCCCGTGCTTCATTGGTAGAGCGTTCGACTCAATGGCTAAAGATCCCCGGTTCGAATCCAAGGTGGGATTGGGTGTGACTGGATGATGCCGACTAATAAGCCAGAAATGTTCATTCGGGTCTCCTTTTCTTTGTCGTTATTCCATTATATGCATATTCTGGTTGTTCTTAAGTCAACAAAACCTTTATCCCGCCCTCTTGAAGCCTATTTATCTATATAAACTGATTCAGAAGTTCACTACCCTTTCTTTCTCTCACTCACTTTGTATCTCTTTCCTGGTCACTGAAGGTCAACAACGAGAGATGCTGCGGAATGGATTCCTCTCGCGACTTCATCTATTCCCGGCTTCCGACAGGTAATCAATTCCCTCTCAAACAAACCTCATTATCCCCTAACTGTATTGCAAATTGACTTTAGAAAACACCATTTTTCAAATTCCAAGAGTCCCTGAGTTAGTTTTTAAAATACATGTGTCCCCTTCCTCCAACCGCTAAATATATTCGTAGTCTTTCTCATTCCACAATCGTCGCATTCCTCACTTTTATATGGTCGGAAGTTCTACGGTTACCGTTCTGCTTATCAATCACTCACCAGCCCAATTCAATTTACTTGATCTGACGACATGGTTTTGTTGCCAACTTCAAAAAACTATCTACGATCTCTTCGAAAAGTGCTGCTTCTGAATACAGGAATAAGTGCACACCGATCAGCTGCCTAGCTGGATAAGACGATCTCTGACTGTGTGGCAGAAGTCGCGATCCTGCCAGGCCGAACTCGGCCAAACTAGGGCAGTAGAGTGGGTTGCCGCATCTGGCATCTCTGCCGTTATCGTCTTTATTATGTTATCCCTTTTTCAGAAGCTATATAGCGAAAGTCCAAATTCGATTATCAGACTTTTTACATACTCCTCCTTCATTCTTGCTAAATACAGGCTAGTCGTTCATATACAGTGAGCGACCGATCTCATTAAGTGTTGACTGAAACTCTGAAGCGTGTTTTCGACTGAGAAGGATTACTTAGGCGCGGTTGTAATATTGATTTTTTCGCGACATAATTCTATAGTACCTCGGACTCAGCAGGATGTCAGATTTTGAATGCACCGATTTTGAACCCCCTGTAGAAACCGAACTGAGTACAAAAATGACTGCTTTAGTAGCATGCATTTTTCGCATTGGTTTTCGATGGTTTTGCGAATTTTAACATATTTAATAGAAACTATAAACGAAAATATGCTTTCTTTCAGTCGTTAGATAGAGAATTACGTGATCTTTATAATTTATGCTTAAAGAAAGAGTATAATTGGCTTTTTAAAAAGTTTCTACTTATGAAATTTTTAAGACCGTGCAATGCCCATTCATACAGCATCGTACCTGTTCGTTTACCACTGCTACTCAGAAAATGTGCAACATAGTCCGCATATATTGCAAAATTTTATGACCCTTTATGATATCTTTATAACGTCATAGAAGAATATGTGATTTTCTTCAAGCGAAACGCATGCACCCTGCAGACTGAAATCACTAAGCGTTAAAGCAACAACAGATCAGGCTACATATTATTCGCAAATCTGAAAACTTTGTAAAAACCTAATTATAATCCTTTAAGTATAACACGGACGTGATTTTCTGTCGAACGACTAAAATAAACATATTTTTGTTTGTTGTTTCTATTAAATACTTTAGAATTCGCAAGACCGTCAAAAATTAATGCGCAAAAGGCATGCTACTTAAGTAGTCATTTTTACCGAGTTCGGTTTCTACAGGAGATTTAAAAGCAGCACATTCAAAATCTGACATCCTTCTGAGCCCCATGTATTATAGCATTATGTCGCAAGATAATCGGTATGATAACCGCCCCTAAGTAATCCTTCTCAATCGAAAACGCTAAATAGCGGCTAATCGTTCATATATTAAAGTATTCAGCAGGGGCGGAGATGTTTACCTCCGTTTTAAACCATCGTCCTACAATGTGCATCTTTTAGTTTGTCAAAAAGAACATGCGGATCAAATATAGTACTTTTTTCTGTTTTATATGCTTACAAACATAATTTTTTCTTTCCTAAAAGAACTCCTATGAGTAGCATTCTAGTATTACGGACGGCTTTACGCCGCAGTTAACAAGGAGGTTGGCATATCGGCGTTAAACTAAATATTTTAAATCTAGTCGCGTCTAATTTCGCGCGGACTTGCTCGTTGTCCCTAATAAGGGCTGCTATTGTCGTGACTATTTGCTCCGGGTCACATGAATTGACAAACAGGCCGTTAATTGGAAAACCGTTGGAGTAAACGCACGACGACGTCAACTGGCGTCGAAGTGGGTATGAATAAAAAAGGCTTTTTATCAATGACATCGCGTCTTGTTTGGCATAAAACCAGTTCTCAACTACTACCCACGCCGAAACCTGTAGATTTTTGGCACTGCGCGGTTAGAGCGAATGGACCGATTCTCTAATTCCACACTCTCTTTTTAAACACTTGCGTAGTTTTTAATAATAGATTACTTCACGTTGAAAGAATTTACACTGATGTGACTTTCAAATTATCGCATTTTTGAAGGAACACTTTCGCAAGCTGTCACTCAAGTTTTCGACTAACAGGAAATTTAATTTTGAAAAGATTTCTTCATTTTTCAAATTTTGAAACATGAGATGCTTTCTGCGTTGTAAATGAACGCGGTGTGAGGGTCCTCTCCAAGTTGCTTGAAGAGGTGCCAAGAATATTTTGACTTACCGGGGTATAAACTGCGCACATGCACTTTTCATTACGAACTATGAAGGGGTTCTCGATGGCAGGTTAACATTGTGCAACCACATCTCACATTACTAAGCAAGGGGTGCTCTACAAATTTACATATATCACCCAATAAAATACTAATACCAAAGTCGGACGTTAATCTAAACAATCAAAGTTGATCAGAATTTTATCCGATTCCTCCATATGTTCGCTCGTGGATGTTTGGGAGGAGCATTTATAGATATGTTCCAAGGACACTATCGAAAGACCATGTCTAATTAGTTTGCCCTGAGCAGCAAATGGTAGTTCATCTGCCGATGCTTCCACACCTATGCTTTGAATTCGTGCTTAGAGAGTCAATACATGTGTTTTTCATAAGATTGATCGTTGCGCTCAGAGCCGCATTGCCCCACTGTTATGCCGTTTGGGCCTTGGAGAGCTTAAATAAGAGTGAACCGTCGGCAGATCATTCTAGATTAATTTCAAATGCACCTGACTTAAGTTCTGACCACGGTCGTTTATCTCGACTCAATTTTTTTCCTTAAGCGATTGGGAGAATTTTTACGTTTGCATTTTTACGTTTGATTACGCATAACAATCAAAATACTTTTTCTATAGGTTTTTTGGCAGATTTGAATAATTAAACTGACCATTTGCGAAAACCTCGACGACCTCGAAGCAATTGCAACCTGTGACAGTGAAGGCATGACTTTAATATAACAACTTGGGCTTTCACCTTCTAACTGACTTCCCCACCCAATCTACCTCAATTTATGGGATTTATAAATTCTAATACAGTAGGATAATAGCTCATGCAGGTTCTTCCATGGCATCAGTCTGACATTAGCACAACACACGTTTTAAACGATTGGGCCACGAGGACGCCACTGGAAGCCCTGGAGTCACAAATACGTCAGTCAAAATATTCTCAGAATTCAAAAGAAACCCACAAGACTTCCTCTGTGAGCAAGTCGAATATCAACGGCAATAAAAATGTTGTGAAAGTCAGTGTTTGCATAATTTAATTTCATGGGAGGGTTTTTCAAAATGTTACTATTGGCATTTGAAAATACAATGGCGGTAAAACTAAAAGTTCACTGTCACCTGTATTTAGGCGGCACGCATGGAGGTAGGTTGGTAAATTTGACAAAAGCGTATTATGCTGCAAACACTAAACTCAATCTTGCTTCTTTTTTATCTGATGTTAACTGCTCTCTCTGACACGTTCCCTTCATGAGTCTCACGGAGGCTTAATTGCGCCTGGAAGTTAGCAGCACAGTTCTGAAAGAGAATCGGCCAATTTTACATCATGCTTTGATCCTCTTACCTTGTTCACGTAGATCCCAATCTCTCGGTCATTTACTCGACCGGCCTCTTATGCACACGCATATTTTCGCACGCCACTTCCTCTTCCATGCTTATGTACTTTATTCTCACTAGTCCAAGCACTTGACGGTTAACTACAGTAGATGTGCCAACTCAGGAAATATTTACCGAAATCTTAAAGTACGTCTTTAATTTGAAAAGATTACTTACGTAAGGGTCGCTATATTTATCATCGTACAGCATAATCCCATAATAACTCGGTTACTTTAGGATGCGCTCTCCGCATGAACGTTGTTCCTGCCATCCGCAAAAACTACACTCTGTATAACTTGACTACTTGCGTAGTATAAATTTTTGTCCCTAATTTTCGATGCCATTATAAATTCAAATATACCCTTAACACAAAGCATGCATAAAAATACTTGTTCTCTTACTCCTTTGGTAGAACACTGCGTTGTCTTTCAATTTTAAGCATGAAAAATCGTGAAATTGGGTATTGAAAGACTGTTCCAATACCGGAATAATTTTGGACCCGACTTACCGTTGCACTTACATTTAGAGTTTCGAACTTACAAGCTGTTTATTTTCCTTGAACGAAGATCCATGCATTTCTCTACAGTATTAAGAGATTATATTAGGTTACTTAAATTTACGAGTCGGTGTGAGCCCTAGCGTAAACTTTACAATTAACCTTTATAAATGCAGAGACGCGAGGTTTAATGAATAGACATTTCGTGGTCTTAAAAAATCTAATAATTAAGGAATTTTTAAAACCAAATTTAGTATAAAATTTGAAGAAGACGCTATTTTTCTCCAAAAGAGTAAACAAATGGATACCTCTATGCGTGTTTTCTATGATATATATTCGAATTTACAATGGCATCGAAAATCAATGAGGAAAAATTCATACTAGCTACATAGTCATTTTTCACATAGTGTAGCTTTTGCAGGCGGTAGGAGAGAAGCGTTTTCAAAGCGGAAATCCCGAATTATCACTAGATTATGCTGCATGAAGATTACTATTGCAATACTGCTTGAGTAATTTTTTAGATTTCAGAACGCATTTCAGAGTTAACTCGCCTACTGTACTTATGACAGCCCCTAGAGTGCCGTTGAACGAATCCTGTTCGAAAGTACTAATATGGCCACATCAATGCCGTTTGATGCATAGGGTCTTACCTCATCCAGTTGACTGAAACCTAGGCAGCATACTGGAATGAAACATGGCTACGGGAAAGTCCGGGGAAGCCGAGGTGAAAGTAAGTTACGAACTAAAGGAGGTTCAGGCAGCACTACTCACCTTTAAACGTACAGATCGCGTAGCTGAAATTTTTTAAAGACTTATTAACTGAACAAATCAGGGATTTTGGGCACGGATATCAACATGCTTCACGTATAATTTTAACTCAGTTTCCTCGCCTGTAATCGTTGGCGTTTAAATGAAAACGTTCCAAAAATGAGCTCAATCTTATGAGGAATCAAGACTCAAACATGACCATCCACTTTTTTCGGCAGATGTCTATTTTCGGCCATAAATCTTAGGAATTATACTTTTGGTAGTATGTTCACCGCTTCCATTTTACTGGACTAAACTAGTTCAGCTGGCGTTTAGCTATCTACTCCGGAAATGATGTATTTGCTGGTATCCTTATTTTATTAGCTTGAGGGTACTGTACGCCACAAAGCCGCAGAAAAGGAAAACGCAGCATAAAGAAGTTTTTTTTGTTAACAAGGCTCAAAATATTGTCAAAATGCATGACTATAGGGGCAAAGTTTGATATTGAAATGATCGCGGACTTTGTAGAAAAAGGGCACTTTAAAAATGTGCGGGTTTTCTAGGGAAGACTGTTGTGAGTGAATGGTGCCGTTCACGCAGGTCTTATAAATCAGCATTTTACAGTTGCGTTGTCGAGTTCATGAGGTGCGATGTGGTCAGATAGTTAATTGTTAGAATATTTGGTTCTATTTCAGTCTGACTTAATAACATAAACCCCACTGGTTTTAGCTGCCCATTTGAAGCCAGTTATCTATTTTAAAGGAGCTTAGTAAATACCAATCTTTCTTGTAATTATCTTGTGGTATAATTTGCTTTTGTACCTTTATATTCCAAAGGTTATTTTGTGTCTACAGCCTTTAAACCCTCTCCAACATTAGAAACCGGTGGAAATGTATGGAGTTAGCGACCAACGCTTTTTCCCCAACGATTTAGCTAGAAGCTTCTGGACAGCGGGGATTCTAACAAGGATGCCATTTTAAGGGCCTTACAGGTTATTTTAAGGGCAATGGACTCGTGGCGCAGTGGTTTGAGGCGTGGGCTTCTAACTAACAGGTCGCGAGTTCAAAGCTCGGGTTTTCCACACTTTGGGCTTGGGTATGACTGTCTGACGACGGTTAATAAGCCAGAAATGGCCATTCCAGTCTCCCTTGTCTTTGTCGGTAATGCCATTCTGCCTATTTTAAGATTATTTTCTATGCCTCTTAGACTTACACCATCCCATAGCTAATCTCCTCCTCAAGTGGCCTCTTCTGCTTCCTGCCGGATTCTTGTGGGCTTCTGTGTATGCGCACCTGAAACTTTGCGTTGACCAGTCTACTTAGACAGCAAGTGCGTTTCTCGCCCACCAGTCATGAGGTCTGACTGAACGCGAATGCCTTTCCCCCCATCTGTGGAAAAAACAAATCAGGTTTGCATTTACCAAGGGTTGTCCGTCATTCGCCACAAATACTCGATCAAATGCCCTTTCCTCACGTTAGGAAAGATCTGGTTTTTGATTGGTCCGACCGAATGTGTCACCACACAAATCCCTAATAATGTACTCGGTGATGTAACGGAAAGCCAAAATACGTGTCTGTACTCGGGCTTTACATCTTCTGAAGTACAGGCACTTTGAAGAAAAAAGGTCTCCTTAAGCGTACTTCACATTCAAGTAGCTCACAGATGAGAGGACGCTTTTGGGGTATTTGCGTCGGGAGGGCAGCGCAGATCGAACCCTGAACCACATTTCCCACGCATTTCTCTTCTTCAACCGTGTGCGCACGGGGAGGTGCACGATTCCTGCACACTAACTCTCAGCATGCACATAAAGCACACCAAAGCTGCAAATCGCTCGAAATATGGCGAAGGTGGGGTGTAGGACCCCCAACTAAATTGAGCTAGCCGGTAGACCGTGTCATACGTTGAATGATGGTAGAGGGGGTTTTAGGGGTGTAGCAGCACACAGGACGGAGATCAAGGAAACACAAAAAATAGATACACGTCTGCCGATAATCTTATCGTACGCTGTCATTCGGCAATGAAAGTGAGCACGACGATTAGAAAACAAACAAGCAATTTTCAAAAGAATTGCGGACTTTGAAAAAAGCGTAGCTGGTTAGTTTACATTTAGTCAGGGAGGGAAGGAAATTCCAAACAATGGGAACGGGAACAACAAGTGATTGTCACAGTCACACAGAATTTTAGGGGGCATTTTTGTAGTTGCCATCTACTTGGGGGTCATACACCCTATCGTTGCCCGAATTATTTTTAGATGCATAAACATGCTCTCCACGGAGTTCGCGCTTGGGCGACTACGTTTTCACGGTCAGCAGATAATTTTATTCTTTAGAACTTCGACCAGCTGAGGGATATTAATTTTGGAGCTCTGCGATCTGTCTTAATGTTCTACTAAGTACTGAAAGACATTGATATTAAGTTTGCCAGTTCCTTGTAAATATTTTGAGGCATCAGGTGGTCACCTAAATTATGGTTAAAATTCACTGAACTTCTGACTAATACTGAGTATGTTTAATAGCAAAACGATAGCATGCTGAGGTCCCATTAACAAATGCCTCATCATGGTGGTTCCCCGCTGTGGGAAAAAGGAATTAATTATGCTTTCCACATGCATTCTTACCGTAAGAAGAGCATCATCGATCAGGTCATGGGACGTTCACGTCTGATTGCACCTTGGGCAACTTGTCGCATAGCGACCAGTAATATATGCAGAATGCGATTGCCCACAAAAGCTAGGGAGACCGGAATGGCCATTTCTGGCTTAGTAGCCGTCGTCAGTCAGTCACACCCAACCCCAAATTATGGAACACCTGGGGCTGGATCCAGCGACCTGTTAGTTAGAAGTCCGACGCCCCTAACTACTGAGCCACGAACTCGTTGTCCTGTCCAATGGTGAAGGGACGCTCACCGATCGTTCTTACGGAACTCACTCACCTCGCTGTTCCTTAAGGGCTCTCTCTCTCGAGCCCAACCAGCGGCGCATGATATAGACAGAAGTGTCACTACCGGTAAAGACAGGCTGACAACGGCTTATGAGCCAGAAATGGCCGTCCCAGTCTCTCTTGTCTTTGTCGGTAATGACGTTCTGTCATGCGCCGCTGTGCGGCTACTAGTTTGGCTCAATAAAGAGCCATTCAGACACGACGGGATGAGTGAGTTCCGTATGAATGATCGATGAGCGCGCCTCTAACATCCCCGCCAATTACGCACACTGACTTCATCTTCCAGGATTTGCAGGTGATTTAAGTTTTAGTTGATCAGGTCCAATGAGACGGTGATCCACCCCGCTGCTGTCTTTGATTGATTTAGCGATTCAACCTCGAGACTGCAAAGTGATGACCGCGGAATCAGTCGACGACAAGTTTTATATTTATCACGAGTGTCCTGGAGATAACTCCTTCCGTCCGTCAGACACGTAGTTCGGCACATGTTATTGAGGAGATCAAGGGTACATCGATCTTGTAGTCTCACGATTGGGAGGCCAGCACTCAACAAAATCCCTCATCTATCGACACTGAGGGACGCCCACCGATCGTGATACGGTACTAACTCGTCCCGTTGTGCCTTACGAGCTCTCTCTCTCGATCACGGCCAGCAGCTACACAGTGGCGCGTGATATGGGCAGAATAACAGTATTGAGAAGGACAAGGGGACTGGAATGTCATTTCTGGTTTGTCAGCCGTCGTCAGTCAGTCATACTCAACCCCCAAGATGTGAAAAACATGGGTCTGGGTGATCTGGGATTCGAATCCGGGTTCTAGAGCCATTGAGCGTGATATGATCGAAAGTTGTGTCATTCGGAGACGGATCCCGTAGGGATGCTTGTACAAAAGTCTTTTTAGGACACTTGATCATGTTAACTCGCTTAGACACCAATATTTTAGGAGTTAAAAGTATTTTGTGGAAAATTTCTACTAACCGCTGAGAGTTGTCTTTGAATTGCATGCATAGCACTCCTCCCTGGAAACAGAGATATTTCTACTTCATTTCACCCTGTTTTGAAAAATGTACATGCAAATGTTCCTTGTATCAAAGAGCGTTGTAGTCAATTTAAATCCCTTTGTTTTTACCTTAAATTTACAACGTGCATAACCTGCAGGATTTAATGGTGTAAACATTCCGCGATTACTTATCAACTTTCTTCGTTGCTACATATCATTAGATAACCGGTTAAATTACTTCAGATGGCGAATACTGTTCACTGTTCCCGAAAGCTGAGCTACATGAAAACACGCTGCCTGCAGAAGCAACTATCGAATCTGTCGTGCATCTAATACTCGTTACCCATGTTATGAGACGACAGAAATCGGCTGATAAGCAGTCTAAAATATTCCTTTAGCAAATATATTCCGCTGTTTGCCCTTTTTTAGACATCCATGAGCAGACTACATTTACCACAAATATGACATACATATTGAAATCGGCACATTCTAAGGGTAAACTAAAAAGCACTGAAATGTTTTCTCTTTCTGGATTAATCATCCATGCCTTCCATACATTAGTTTTAAAGCAGTATAACGCCCACCCAAACTGCTACGGGAATTGAAAAGTTTCATTAGGCCTTTCAAAAAGTAGCACGCTTTACGTGGAAGACGGACATGAACTGAAAACGCAGGTGGTACTTTTGGAGTCATTTGTTTCCTGACTGACTACCCCTCTGTCGTCCATCCTCATTCTTCCCGGCCAGATCCATTTTTTCTGTATTTAACTTTTGAAGCAGGATTGTTTGAATTTGATGAAGTCTGCCCGAACTTTTCCTTAGTTGTTGAACACCAACTCGATCACATAACTTCCAGGTGACTTCTGACAGCATATGGCTTTACGTTGGCCAGCGGCAGGTTTTTTTGGTGATGGGAACTGGCAGGCCGCACCTGTCGCTGACATTAATTAGCCTGCTTACATCGCCTGCATCAGGCTGTGGGAAAGTACACCCTCTTTCCGCACTTCTGATTGCATTGCCCGCTCCTGACAGTAGCTCATCTGCCCTTTTTTTGCCCCCCTCCGATCATTCCAACAGGCATCTGTCCCAAGGAGTGCTGCCCCTGGTCTTACCCCCAACGCTGCCATTGCAGTGAGGCCCAGGCGCAGAGCATGCCCGGTTGTCGTGATCGTATCACCGCCTTTGTGGAGGAGAATATGCAGGCCATCACGTACATCCTCTCGGCCGTCCTAGGTCTACAGGTGACTTTCATCCGCCCCCCCCCCCTCCATTTTATCTCTCTGTGGTCCGCGGGGGGAGTGTCCTGCTCCTGGCCTGATTTTTGCCCCTTCACCCTGTTTACTGCTAATGTTTGGCTCTCAGTTTCCGAAACAAGAGCTTTTATTTGTCATGGATTCAGTGGAGTGTTACAAAACACTGTGGCTGACTCCAGGTTCACTTACGTGCACTCCCCATTGACGTGCGACTTTACAAAATCCTATCCAAAGGACGCTGTCAAAGATGCTTCCTAATCTGAATGCCACTCGTAACTGTACTCAAAGAAGACTCCGGTCTGCTAGTGTGAGCATGTCTCGGGACACATCGTAGGACAGATTTTTTTAGGTAGACGCATGGTGGCACAGCAAAGACTGTGGCACCAAGTCAAGCGCGGCCATGCCGCCTCTATGCCCGAAAAGCAATTATAAGAAATTTTAGCATGTGTACTTGGAAGAGTTAGGCGTTTTTAGCGTCCATTTCACTGTCTAGTTGCTATTATTGTTCGTCTTAGTGAACGACTTTTCAGCTATTAAACGCACATCAGTGTCTCCACATTCTCCACAAATTTGTACAGGTTTTCCATAATTATTTGTTCAAGATCACGAACTCAGAGAATGAATGCCATCAGATTTGCACTGGTACTAAAAGGGCACCTAAAAATAGCCTTTCACGAGATGTCTAAAGCACTCAAAACTCTGGCAGACTAGTGACGGTCTTTAAGGACCTATAGGGGCATCGCAGGCTTTGCTCAATAATTTTGGCTCCCATAACTATATAAAGCAGAATAAAATGCATTTGAAGGATTTATTTACATCTTCCTGCACAGCACTCCCGTCTTCACTTCTGAAAAATTACCAAAAACCACCCTACAGGCCTCATACCAATTTCCTTCTCAAAGTTGGCGTCTGTTCCAATCAGGAGATGGGAGCACTGACTTTATGAATCCTTTTGGTGTTTTTTGTAAATTTGGGCTGAGAGACTAAGTCCCCCTATTTTCTATTTATGTTTTGCAAGAACCCTACGTTATCATCTAGGTATATTTTTTAATGGCTTAACTCTGTTGAGTTCTCAAAATTCTAAAATGCCTTTTCGACTAGAATAGATTACCTAAGTACAGTGAGTGCCCAATATCATGAAATGTTCGCCAAAATTCTAAAGTGCTTTTTCGATTAGGAAGGATTAATTAGGTGGAGTTGTAATACCGATTATCTTGCGGCGTAATCCTATAAAATTTCGGACACGGCAGGATATCGGCTTTCAAATGCACGTCTTTTTTATCTCCTGTAGAAGTCGGGCTCGGCAAAAAATGACTACTTAAGTAGCATGCATTTTTCCAATTGATTTTCGATGGCCTTGCAAATTCAAATACATTTTATAAGAACTTTTAGCGAAAATATGCTTTCTTTCACTCGTTTGATAGGGAACCACCTCATCTTCATATTTTATACTCGAAGAAGCAGTATAATTAGGTTTTTAAAAATTTGCTTAATTTCCGAATAATTTGGAGCCTGATCAGCCGTTGCATAAGGGCCTAGTGATTGCAGTCTACAAACTTCATGCGTTCCGCGTAAAGAAAATCACATATGTTTCTATGCCTTTAAAAAGATATTATATAGAGTCCATAAAATTTTGCAATGGATGCGGACTATGTTGTACATTTTATGAGGAGCAGTAGTAAAAGGACAGGTATGATGCTGTATGAATAGACATCGCATGGTCTTAAAAAATCTCATAATAAGAAACTTTTTAAAAACCTACTTATACTGCTTCTTCGAGTATAAAATATGAAGATGAGGTGATCCCCTATCAAACGAGTGAAAAAAGAATATTTTGCCACAAGATAATCAGTATTACAACCCTACCTAATTAATCCTTCCTAATCGAAAACGCATTTCAGAATTTTGGCGAACATTTCATGAGTTAGCAAACCTGTACCTTGCAGCTCTACAAAGATAGCGCTGAACCCAGAATTGCAACTGCATATGCGAACCAGCAGCTGTTAACAGGAAAAAAAACTTTCATATGATTTCCGAATCCATCTGATGAGGGCGAGGCATAGCTAGTGCACGATGCATGAGCGTCCAACCAAGGCCCTCACACCCACCAGCGGTTAGGACGGCTCACTCACCTGCACACTTTTTTCGAATCTGTGACAGCCAAAATATGCCTGAAATGTTTTATCTCTGTCGTTACACACACGATGGGCGTTGCCATTCTCCGGACTGGAACCACTGTTATTACTGTCAGGCAGACGCAATATATTAATTTTGGTAGAACCAGACGCCACGCCCACCATGTCCATCACCAGCGCACAGATAGTCTCTAATCCTAAGCGACTATCGGGCATGTCACAGTGAATTCCAGACTCACGCGAACGACCGTTTCTGAAACTCACCAAATGGGGCTATTGATATCTGGGAGTCAGCTCCATGCACTGGGCAAAGAAATAGGAGTTTGATGTGGTTATGTAGCCCCACCTGAAGTAAACAAACCCCAGTCACCTCTAATGCGGGACCGGTGGTAATAAGGGCTTTTACAGGTGAGTCCGAGAAACGCACAGGCGACGAGGCCAAGTGGTTTTATGCAAAAGAAAAGCTATCGGGAATGCGCGGCTGTACTTTGAACGGTTGAGACATAGTCTCCCTAACCCCTAAGCCTAACTCCTAACTATAACTCCTAATTCTAAACCCTAACTCTAGCCTCTAGCCCTAACCCTTACCCCCAACCCCAACAGTATTGTATCCATCAGGTAGGGCAACCTAACCACATCTCACCGAAATAAGATATAATTTGGCCTGAACTGCAGGACAGTTCACTCCTGGCCAAATTCGCACGTTTAGCCTGATGGCTATTTGGTGCTGTGATCTTGTTTTTATTGTGTTTCCAGGTCTTCGACTCGTTATAAGTATCAAAACTCATGTTTGGTTGAGTAAAGACATCACATCTAAGGAGACGACTCGATCGCAGGAACAGGGTTTTTCTTTGTCGGGCGTTTTAGATTCATACTAAGCCAGTATCAGAGACACACAGGGAGTGTAATATTCATGATATACCCGACAGCACCCGCACGATAGGGGCTTCTATGTTCGCATTTAAGTTACTTTTTGTCGTAATTTATCATCGCCATCTATTATTGGTGCCGGCAGTCTGGTTCATCCATATGACCACTAGAAGCAGTTTTCTCCCGCGTGGCTAATTATCCTGTTCAGATAAAGTGTGAGGCCAGAATATGATGCAGGGGTCGTTGCAATTGCTGACAGATTCCGGTCTTAGGGCCATGACTCAATCTCCCATCGGTTCATGGGTTAGTGCACACCTGCTTTGTTGAACTCCTTCGTATACTTTAGCTCCTATGGTAACCAAGGCAATGAAAATATTCATTTGGTGTTCTACATTTTTAGTTTTGCACATTATTTTTAGGAGGAAGTCAATCGGCGTCTTTTTGAAACTCTCTTTTGTAGTTTAGTTCCGAGGGCACAATATTTCACATCAAAAATTGTCCGAATGTTTACCTGCTATCGTACTTTCGCCATCTAGCCTCATCCAAAAAGTTTGTATTACCCGGTTACTGTTGCTTGTGTGGGGACGCATACTGCGTCCTTGCCGACTGCAGAATGAACCTGAGGGAACTCGTCTTCCGGAGCAACTTTTCCTAAACTTTCTCCTATTTCAAACAAGCTAGAGGTTTCCAATCGTGGTAAGGGTAGGTTGCGTAACCTCAAACCATACCACTCCATGTAACAGGTGCACGCAATGTTAGACTCCACCAAATAGGACGAAAAGACACTCTTCAAACATTTTTTATGCAACAAGCCTTTTTGTCGTTCAGGCAATTGTTTCTTCACTTTTGTCGACTGCAAGCTCATAAATGAAGCGGACTAACAGCGCACCGCATCAATTGATCACTTCGCGTATCTTTCCAGAAATACGAACATCGAGAGCCCTCCTTGCCTATGGTGTAAATATGAAGCTGTATCATGCGTCTGATTCCATTATCATGCCAATTGCAACTTCCTAATTATGAGTCAATAGTCCGAAATACTGTAAACTTATCTTGCGTGTTTGAGATGACAGTTCAGCCGTCGTTCCTGATGATGTCCATCGTGTGACAGCAGGCGCGGCGAGTTGCATGTGAAATAATTTATAGCGAGAGTGTACTTGCGCACTCACCTTCGCCCGCTGTCAAGGCACAGCCAAGAAGACCGGACGGAGGAAAGGGCTCAGGTGGCCGGTGCGGACTTATTTTTGATTTCCGAATCCATCTGCTGAGGGCGGAGCATAGCTAGTGCAGGATGCATGATCGTCCAAACAAGGCCCTCACACCCACCAACGATTAGGACGGCGCACTCACCTGCATACTTTTTTCGAATCTGTGACGGCCAAAATATGCCTGAAATGTTTTAGCTCTGTCGTTAAACACACGATGGGCGTTGCCATTCTCCGGACTGGAACCACTGTTATTACTGTCAGGCAGACGCAATATATTAATTTTGGTAGAACCAGACGCCACGCCCACCATGTCCATCACCAGCGCACAGATAGTCTCTAATCCTAAGCGACTCTCGGGCATGTCACAGTGAATTCCAGAATCAAGCAAACGACCGATTCTGATACTCACCAAATGGGGCCATCGATATCTGGGAGTCAGCTCCATGCACTGGGCAAAGAAATAGGAGTTTGATGTGGTTATGTAGCCCCACCTGAAGTAAACAAACCCCAGTCACCTCTAATGCCGGACTGGTGGTAATAAGGGTTTTTCCAGTGGAGGCCGGGGAGCGCACAGGCAACGAGACCAAGTGGTTGTATGCAAAAGAAATGCTACCGGGAATGCACGACTGTAATTTGAATGATTGAGAAATAGTTGCTCCAACCCTAAACCCTAACTCCTAACCCTAGTCCTAACCCTTGACCCCAACGCCAACAGTCTTGTGTCCATCAGGTGGGGCTACTAAACCACATCTCACCGAAATACGATATAATTTAGCCTGATCTGCATGACAGTTCACTCCTGGCTAAATTAGCACATTTAACCTGATGGTCATTTGGTGCTGTGATCTTGTTTTATTGTGTGCCTCCAGGTCCTTGACTCGTCCTAAGCATCAAAACCCATATTTGGTTGACTGAAGGCATCAGATCTGAAGAGAAAGTAACTCGATCGCAGAAACAGGGCTTTTCTTTGTCTGGCGTTTTGGATTCATACTAAACCAGTATCAGAGACACACAGGGAGTGTAGTATTCATGATATACTCGACAGCACCCGCACAATAGAGGGCTTCAATATCCGCATTTAAGTCACAAATTGTCGTAATTTATCATCGGCAGCCTGGCTCATCTATACGACCACTAGAAGCAGTGCTTGCCGCGTGGCTACTTATCCTGTTGGTGTAGGGGTCGCTGAAATCGCTGACAGACTCCGGTCGTGGGGCCATTATTCAATTTCCCACGAGATTGGTCACACCCGCTTTGTGGAACTCGTTATTATACTTTAGCCCCTTTGGTACCCAAGGCAATAAACATATTCAATTGTTTTTTTACTGTAGCGTCCAACCTCAAAAGGGGTTCGGTGGCCGAGAGTTCACTCACGTCCTTTGGAGTTACCTGGGGCGGAACGTCGGAAATTGAGGCCCTCTGTCCGATTTGTGCACCGTTAAGATCGTCCTTCCAAATGTTTATTAGCGAATAACAATCTTCAAGCATACGATAAGCCGCGTAGTACTCTAAGGTTTATTGAGGAAGGCAAAAGGAGAACGTAGAACGAATACAAAGCAAAGGGAGATTTATTAGTCCAACAAAACGTTAGTTTCCCAGTTGTCCAGGGAAGGTGGAGTCAGATGCTGCCACCGGGGAGGGGGGGTCCTCTTCTTCATGCACCTTACTATAAAAAACAAGAGAAAGCAGACAGATATTGTCCAGACACCAGGCACCCTTGCTCCCAAAATTAGCGCCCTTGTCTATTAAAACAACCGTTCATGTGTGTCTGCCACATTACATTTTCAGTTTTACAAAGTACTTTTAGCAGGAAGTCAAGTGGCGACTTTTTGTAGTTTCACTTCGAGGACACAATATTTCACTCCAACAATTGTCCGAATGTTTACCTGCTATCGCACTCTACTTTCTGCCGTCTAGCACCATCCATAAAGTTCATACTACTTGGCTATTTTTTTGTGTGGGGTCGCGATTTTTTCAGGTTGTCACTTTTTAATTTCCTTAGAAATTATCTATGAAGTTGGAGTAGATCAGTTTATTCAAGACTCAAGCCGAAAATTTTATACATGAATATTTTGGCCAAAGTCCATCAGCCACAGCGGGTAACCGCGTAATATTTATTAACTGCCGATAGGCAGCTAGTAGTATACTTTAGGGTAAGGTGATACCATACTAAGAAAACACACGGGGAATGCTGGGGGACTCACTGAGGAGCCGAACCCCTCTCAACTGCGCCATGCAGCGTCAGAACATCGGCGAAACACGTGTGTATGGGCTTTTGGCTAGTGTCTGTGCTGCTAGTATGGTATCACCTTACCCTAAATTATTGCAGATATCTAGTCTTTTTTCGGCCAATTTCGCTGACACCGCCCCCTCCCTTCCTCCGCGCACAAGCTGTGCGTCCCACAAAATGCCCATCGTTGCTGCTTTAACAGTTAATTTTAGACTCAGATGACCATGCTCCAGTCCGCCCGACCTTTTCTTCTTTAAAAGAAAGAAATAGCTATCCTCCTCTGTCTCCTCTATTTTATTTTAGGCCCTCCTCTTCGTGCTGGCCACCTGGCAACTGTGTGCCGGCAAGTGCGGCTAGTAGCTCGCGGATCTTTTTACCTTCCTGAGCCCAGATCCATTTCCATTCGGCCCGCCATCTCACCCCGACTCCAAGGCCCCCGTCCCCCCTCCCCAGTTTCCACAGGCGTGAAATTTGTAACTTCCGCCCACCGAAAACTGCAATATACATATATTTTGTGCCGTGCCAAAAATTGGACAGAAAAATAGGCAAAAGGGTTGACCAACTTGCCTAGTTCACCGTAATCCTATTTTTGATTTTGTGCCTGTGTGGACTCCTCGATGGAGGTGAATTTTCAGACGATACCTATTGACTTTCTTTGACAGAATGCAAACTATTGCCTACTGTAAACAGAGAACATTTCCCTTCATGGATAAAGGCGCTTTGTGCATTAGAGCACGACATGCCAGACCCAGGGCGGACAAATACTTGGGATTTTTGTTTGGTAATTCACCAATACCATTCGGATTTTTTAACCGATGTTGAAGATGACGTTGAGACTTTCAGGTAAGTCGTGAGACTCATTTATCTGAACGACGCCCCGACAACTGAGCAGAGTCGTCGTCTTCTAGCACGGTCTGGATTTACCGTTGGAGTTAACTGGTCGCGATGTTCTGCCCATTTCGACGATTATTTGGCGACTTTATATTTTTTAGTAGAGAGATCATTGTGATGAAAAAAGGAAGTATAGGTAAAAACTCTAAACTCATTTGCACGCAAGTGAAAATAGTCCAACAATTCGATTTCGAATTACAACGTCGATAACGGAAGTAAAATGGCAAGGGTAGGGTTTATGCCGGGATTTCTTACTCCGGAGATCAGTTGTGCTAAAAGAAAGTAAATGGCGACAAGTATCTGTACAAGCCAGAGAAAGGAATATAAAACCTCGCGGCGGCTGCCGTCTGAAATATTTTTTTGACAATGTCTGCAGAGGGGCACTAAATTCATTTACTGTTGTCATTAGATAATTAAAATAGTGTTACATTTTACTTGGTGACGGTATGTAAGATCAGATTGCACGGCACCACAAAGTTCTTAGATGTTCAGCCCATTTGCTCAACTCTGAACTTATTCGCCCGCACGTGAAAATGGTCCAACATATCGATTTCCAATTACAACTTCGAGTACGGATATAAAATGGTAAGGGTAGGGTTTATGACGGGATTAATTACCGCGGGAATCATTGATGCTAGAAGAAAGTATGGTAGGTGGGCTAACTCATGAAGTGTCGACCGAAATTCCGAAGAGCGTTTTCGTTTCAAAAAGATGAATTAAGTAGTGTTGCAAAAACCAGTCAGCCTGAAACAAAATTCTATAATATTTCAGTTACCTCAGGATGTCAGCTTTCGAATGACTTTCGTTCCGGTTGCATGCATAAAACACATTCTGTAAAAAATGGCTACTTAAGTAGCATGCATTTTTCTCTTTTATTTTCGGCGCCCCTAAAAGTCCAATTATATTTCATGGGAAACGTGCAAAAAATAATCATTCTTTTGCTCATTCGGAAAATACTTACGTCTTTTTCTAAGTTTCTACTCGAAGGAGGGTCATACTTCGATTTTAACAATTTTTCCAATTCCGGAATAATTTCGAACCGTTTTTACCGTTGCAATTTGATTCAGGGTTTCCAACGTACAAGTGGTATAATTTCCGCGTACGAAAAACCCCAAATTTCTCTACGGTAATAAAGGGAAACTATATAGGGTTCATAAACTTTAGCTGCGGATTTGGTACATGTTGTTAACTTTACAAGCCACATTCGTAAATGCAGAGACATGAAGATTTATGAACGACTATTTCACGGCATTAAAAAATCTCACAATTAAAAACATTTTTGAAACCGAGTTAAGCTCCTCCTTCGGGTATAAAATTGAAAGTAGACGTTATTTTTTCCGCATAAATAAAAGAATGAAGATTTTATGCGTCTGTTCCATGAAAAATATAATTGAATCTTTAAGAGCATCGAAAATCAATGTGCAAAATGCATGCTACTTAAGTAGTCACTTTTTACAAAGTATAGCTTTTGCATGCAGCCGGACGGATATTCGTTCGAAAGCTGACATCCTGAGGTGACTGAATTTTTATAGAATATTACTGCAGGTTGATTAGTTTTACAATTCCACCTAATTAGTCTTTTCGAAAAGAAAACGCATTTCGGAATTTCGGTAGACATTTCATGAGTTAGCCCACCTACTGTAACTGGCGACAATTATTTGTACATTTCAGCGAAAGGAATATAAGACCTCGCGGCGGCTGTTGTCTGTAGGTGGTTAAGATGAAAAATACAACAATGTTATACCTTTTTTGACAGTGCCTACAGAGGTGCATTAAATTCATTTTTTATTGTCATTAAATGAGTAAAAGTGTCAAATTTTACTTGGTGACGGTATGGAAAATCAGAATTTAATATTACCACAAAATTCTTGAATGTTCAGCTCTTTTCCTCCGCAAAAATGCTTTCCGGAGTAAGTAATCCTGGCCATAAACTATACCCTTTTCAGTAAAAGTATTAAAAACTTTAAGATAACAAATTTTAGCAATTCAATTAAGGAAGTTATTCCTGGACAACAACAGGTCTTATCAACTGACAATGGATGGTTCAGAAACGTCTTTGTCAAGGCCAACCAACACCGGATTGGTAGTTTCGGTCGTTTTAACTGTAAAGAACCGGCGATACCTCAGCTCTGATAACCGACATACCTGAGGTTCGACGTAAAACGTGACCACAATTCCAGTAGAACTGTGTCTATCAGGTGGAGTTACATTACCACATATTGCCGACAAAGCATACGCAATCGAAATTCCTGGTCCATGATAGCGATATTTCTAAAAAAATTGTCTGAGCATTGAGAACATACAATGACTACAGTGCAGCGTAAAAGAGATGCCATGACGATTGGAAATACGGCCAAAAAACTAGGCCACGCAGACTAGTTCCTCCGACAACGCAGAGGAAAGAGAAGTAGGCGGTAAAAAGCAACTTGTGGATAGTGTTTGTCACAGAACTGAGCTCCGGTGCCAAAATTGCCGACATCGTCCGAAAAAATTGTCGTTTTATCAAGACCTCGTACGCAGGTTTGTCGTTGATCTCACGAAACACGCGTTTGTGCACCAAACTGTGATGCAAAAGGCGAGCATTTTGCGAATTTGAAAAGGTTTTTGTGTTAAGCATGCTCTTGGCCTAGAAAAAGTCGAAACACACGGAGGATGAAGTCGAAGTTCTCAGAAGACTGTGCTCACTGAGTGTCATTAGAGACGCAGCATTAACTTATCGCGATCGTATTCGGATTAGGGGATCTGCTGTTAAGGGTAAAATATTTTCTGGGATAGCTAGAATGAAGTCCTTTACAGGGCGGTAGGAATTCATTTTAGCAGAAGAGCGATAATGGCAGTTTTCTAGTCGATCGCAAAACAATATATGCAAAGATGAAGGAAGAGATGATGATGATGATGATGATGATGAGGAGGAGGAGGAGGAGGAGGAGGAGGAGGAGAAGGAGGAGGAGGAGGAGCAAGGTGATTATTGCTACAGCAAGGGTGCGCAAATGCAAAAACAAATAGGTGGTTTATGATGACAAATGGGAGAATAGGCAAACAAGCGATTGAGATGCGCATGGTAATTGGCCATGTTTTTCGTATCGAGTGTTCTGGATACTTACTCATTTCGAAGTTCTCAACCTAATCCACTTTCATCGATTCTTTTAGACGAACGTTGCATGACTTTGCATTAACCAGTACACCCCGCCACATATATACTGTCTGCAGTTACTATGTCTGAAAATATAGCCCGAGCAACGCGATCACGGCTTGCTATGAAAGACACGGCACGAAGGATCTGGGGGAAATACGCATACCGCCTTCGCCAAACGCACTGGTGAACCATGGTCGATGTTTTCGTTTCGCATCCCATCGGCATCCAGCACATATATGTGGTCCTATGATATCGTGTTCGGCACGTCGGTCACATCATGAAAACCCTGTTTGACTGGCGGGCTAAAGCGGATGGGGATAAGTGCAGAAGAGTCGAGCACCAGAGCACTTTGTTTATTGTTCTGAGCTTTCAGACTCGTGCAGGAGTCCAACGTTAAAGTTAGTAGCAGCAGCATAACAAGCGACAGTCATAAGGCATGTAGGTCTATCATCGACCAACGGCGCAAGACTGGAGGTGACTACTCAGGGCTCTGTACGCCGACGTCAGATCGATAAATCGATTGACGATGGACTCCTACACGAGTCTGAAAGTTCAGGACAATAAACAAAATGTTTCGGTGCTCGACACTTCGTCTTCCCATATGCATACATCTGGAACTCGAAATTTCGCCTTCATTCGCGGATGTGGATACCGAGAAACTGTCGAACTAACTTTTAAACTCCCAAGAAGATTCTACGGAGAGGGCGACACGCAATCGAGTAAGCGATCCATGCCAACTCGGGTCATCTTCCTACTAAAAGTCGTATCCTATTGTGTGATCCGAGAGCCGCCTGGGATGATTCAGCACCCCTTCTTAGAAATAACACTGTTTACCTCCTCGTGAACGAAGGACTTGAAAAAATTCCTCAAAAATTGTTGCTAAGACATATCACTGACAAGCTGATTGTAGGTTTTGCACGCATAAAATGTCGCCCGAAAACTTCAACGGCAATAGCAGGGTGCAGGACGTTTCAGCTTGAAGGAGTGCCGGGCCATCGAACAGCTGAGTCTTTCCCCTGACGGACATTTTTTCCCTCAGCTGATGCGCATCCGATCTTGGGTACACCTGCCAGTCATCAGTACTTGCCTAGATTTCCCAAGTACATACATCGGCGCATTATTTAGAGTCCACCGACAGCTAATCGTGGTCCTTCAGCCTACCGTTGTCCCTGTAACAGAAAACAACACCTGTCTCCTTCCCCTCCAAAGCCTCTCCACAGGCTGCTACAGTGATACTGTTCCTTTTTGACAATCTGATGGTAAAACATCGTTTATCGTGTTCGGTGCAGTTCCTTTAGAATGAACTACGTTGGACAAGCTCGCGAAAGCAGTGAGAAGGTCTCGCCGGTGGCGGAACTCTGTGCGTGCTCTGGACATATTCTCACCTTCTAGGATGCTGAAATCCCAGGCCGAGTTATCAACCAATCATCCAGAGAGACGCTCGAAGTTTGGCTTACCCCACAAACTCCTGTCAGTCGCTGAACTACCATCGCTGTGACTTACTAGGCCTCACGAGTGCTGCTCTATCAACGAAATTGCAGGCAAGAATTCAGACTGGACGCCATCGTAAGCAAATCCATACCGATCAAGTACACTGGCCGCGTGAACGTCTTTCCGACACAAACGCAAACCAGCAAGACCTCCTGTCAGGTTTGAACGCAGACACGCATGGGTACGGCTCGTGCATTGACGCCAGTGATGGATGTCACCAGCCTGATAGGAACACAGACACTGACAATGGCTCAAAAACTACCTACGAGACGCAAACAAACAGACACAAACGGGAGGGCGAATAAGAGCTTTGCAGGTCTGTGACAGCAAATGCGGACGATGCAGACGAGATCAATAGTCGGCGCCACCCTCCGACGACAGGAAAGCGGAAGGCACTGACCAGCATGACAGCGATCTAACAGCACGCCAGTATGTTCAGTAGCCACAAGTCCCGTAGGGTGCCGTAAGGGACATACCTAGGACGATGGAAGCTTGTTTGCGCTTGAAACGTTAGGATACTAAACTTATGGTTTCCGTGGTCGCTTCGTCTTCTCATCATCAAGTACCAGATACAAGTAGCACACCAGGCGGCCACTACCTTACGCACACTGCACGTACACCCTAAGGACAGGGTTGGCCACCTCGAGAGAAAAGGTCTACAAAATCCCATGTTCTAGTTGTGTTGCCGTCTATTGTGGCCAAACTGGGAAATCTGTTTCAACCCGTATGCATGAACACCAGTTGTCGGTAAAGAGACGCGACCATCTATCCCAGGGGGCCATGCACACACTGGACACACATTCGCATGGGAAAACAATCGCATTATTGGCGCCTGCCCAATAAGGAAAGGCCGCGAATTTCTTGAGGCAATGTACTCAGATGAAGCATATATCAACCAGCATATCGATCTAGATGCCACATACAAAATCGTTAAGGACATATTCAGACTGACTCGACCAATCCCGAGGAGATGATTTTTACCATTCATAGAATCCTTTGTCAGACTCGGTCTAGAAGTTGATTGTTTTTGCACGCACGTTGTCTGAAGACGAGCTGGGGAACCAGTCTCGAAAATGTACACAATAAAGTTTACTGTTTCCCAAAGAATTCCATTTTCCTAAATATATGTAGCGAGTAGGAACGACAGAGAATGCGGGTAGATTGATACAGCACTGTTTCGGGCTTATTTTGCCTTAATTAAGCCAATCATATCCCTAACCAGCAGCCGGAACCAGAAACACAAACCTGCGCACAAAAGCACCTGGCGCAATTGATTCACCACTGGGGCCTACCAGATGGGTCATAAGCACTTCATCGAACAGAAGTTCATCGGTGCCTTGCCACCTGTCATTCTCTGTCGATGCAGATCGGGTATTTATCCAATCAGGAATGGACACAGACTGATTTATTGGCTTTACGAAGCAAACAAGCCCCGTATGGGTGGCAAAGGCCACGAACAGGCAACCAATTACCAGGCCGAAGTCGGCTAACGGCAAAGACATAATAGACAGGAGTGACCATTGCTGGCCTATCAGCTGTCATCAAGCGCTAATACCCGACCTCATCTGGGGATAACCTGAGATTCGATCTCGGGATCTGGCTGATACTTTTGTCGATACCACCGCAACTAGCTATACCACTAGTTGCTACGCCTGTGAGGGTCCTAGTTTGAGTCCTGAGGCACAACAGGATCGGTGAACGGCGGTTTTCCATAGAAAATATAAATGAAGAATTGTGTGTTCTCAATGACAGCAGGCACGCATTTATGCTTTTAATCCTATAATAGCTGACGGACTCAAGATAAAAGCGTTTCACTACTCTTCGTTCAAGGGGGTTGCTAGACGCCTCCCATGTAGTTTTCTTGTAATTCGCCAGGACACAAATCCGGGTTGCTCACGATGCCTTCCACCGTATTACAGCCAGCGTTATTTACATATTAAAGACATATTAAAACACCACGTAAAATACGCAGAAAAGCACCGTATTAAAAACGCATGTTGGCGGGCATAGGTCTGCTTTCAATAAATTCTCATCAGGCCTGTAGGTTTATATGGCTATTGAAATAAGAAATCGCGGGCAAGCTAGAAGCCTTCCAGCTACGTTAGCAGATCAACAGTCTGAGATGCTATGGAAGGCGCGCGGATGATATATTCGTGATTGCACCGAAAAAATGACGCCTCAGTTCTATTGCACGATATAAATCAGGTGACCTCATTAATAAACTGCACATCCAGGTCCGCCTCCATTTCCGGATGTACTTCTGAGTAGGGAGTTTGACTGCAGTATTCGACGTAGCGTTTATTGCAAGGAAACATGGTTTGGACAATGCACCTATTTTGGGAGATTCGAACTCCTAGGTGTTAAACGTAATTTAGTCCGCTGTTTGACAGAAAGGGTGAGAAGAATCTGCTCATCTGATAGCATTCAGAGAGAACTTAAGATTGTCGGAAGTCTACTTCGCCAGGACGGGTACCCTAATCTTTCTATTACTAAGAACATGACCGAAAGACCACAAAAGCCCCCGATACTGACCGCAGGAAAGAATAGGCTCTTCATCAGGATTTCATTTCAAGGGTATGCACCAAGTGAACTTTTAAGAAGACGCCTAACTCAAGCTGTAGCACAGACCTTTCCAGCAGCTGACTCCCGTATACTGTTCTCCACCAGTCCCTACACGGAGAAGGCATGGACAAACTGCCAGCTCAGACCACCACTATGTGGGGCGGAATATATTGACCGCACGAGCCGGCGTTTATCCAAAAGAATTAGAGAACGTCTTCTAGCATGGTAAGGAAGGGCCTAAGTAAAGAACACTAACAGCTCTATCCCCGCGCACACGCTAGACAATGACCACCGTGTAGATGCCAAAAGGCCTTTCGAGTGATTTCTAAGGTTCCGTCAAGGTTTCCGTCAGGCTTTCTACTCAGAAGCACATCCAGAAAGGGAAGCGGACTTGACTGTTCTTCTTCTTCAAGTGTGAATTTGATTGATAGGTGCGCCTGGTTTATCGAAAGCTGACACACACTCGTCAAATTTCCTTTTGAATTTTTCAGGGGGAATTTTCGCAAATCTAAAACTTGCTCATGTAAAATACATATAACAGCACCATATGACGAGCGATTGTGGTAACTTTCGCATAAACTCATGGAAACTGGCATAAGTAGTTGATTCACGCTGAGAATGACCAGCTCCTAGAAATGAAGTCAACAGGAACCAAGAAACCTGGGTGCAACCAACATCCGTAATTTCGACGCCCTGTAGCGTCAGGGTTTGTTAGATTTCTCCGAGTGCGGTCTCACGTCCGTTGACCTCACAATTTGACCAGTTGCATCGCACGTATATTCAGCCAATCACATCTGTCCATGAATGCAACAAACTGCTTTACCTGAAGACATCTCAACTTTCTCCCATAAACCCATGAAAACGGCCATCAGCACAATAGACATTCTCTTTTTACACATTCTCAGCACTGTCAGTACATGTCGTGTCCTCGTCTGTGATCATTTTCGATCGAGAAAGCAGGGTTGGATTCTGTACAGAATACATCCCTTATTATGGCGTCCTCCGTCTTCTCCCGCTGCCCGGAGATTTATCTGATGGTTGTGCAAAGCTCTTCCTTTCACTATCCGAGCACCAACAAAGGCTTTGCTGAACTGGTACATTAATAAATTATTATTGTCTTAAGGCCGTCAACAGGCCATCCGCCCAGACTTATTCGGGTGGCAAACACGGTGTTGTTTAAGTTTGTCAATCTACGTGTGGGAATTTTTTCACTGTAACCATAATGGGATACGGAGTGTCATTGAGAGAACGCGGTTAAAATCAAACGATAATGGAACTAGGGAATTCGCAGCCCCTTCGGAGGGATGGAATCAGACTGCAGATTCCTCGTAATTCGTGGCGGCCTAACTGTCGCGATTAAACATGCGAGGATTGTAAATTAATCGGCTTTGTCTTGAATGACAAGGCCAAACAAGCGCAGCCTGAGCAAAGAACGGTGTTACGTAGAGGATTTATGCGGCGTCACACCTATGGTGTAGTCTGTATGTTAGCGAATGAAATGTTGGAAACTTGGGACTATAAATCACCAGCTACGGGACGTAATCTAATCACTGTCCCCGCTGCTTCGCATTAGAAGCCCCAGTTTCGGGCTTCTGCCGTCGGATTGATTTGGTGTGTGGATTAATTATCACTCAGTCCAAAAACCATTCTAGGCATTTTATTGGCCGTTCGAAATGCCTAATGTTCTGTCTTGTCCAGTCTTTATCCGTATCTAAATAATCATTTTGCCACCTAAGGCTGGCAGAATCCTGTTCTGGGAGACCAATCAGATTAATGTGAACACACTTTATAGCTTATTTTTTGTGCGGAATTCCCTTTTTTCAACTAAATCACGAAAAGTTGTAGTCGTAGAAAAATGCATATATTCACCCCTGGAAATACCAAGGTTTGTAAACGCATTTTGTTTAAAATCTTGTTTGTTCTCAATGACCACCCCAATTATCCGAATATCGGCCCAGATCTGTCCAAAATGAGTACAAGTTAGAATACAACAGCATATTTGACGCATAAACCTTAGATTATTAAAAGGATAGGTAAATAGTCATGCCACCTCGTCCTTGTCTGAATTAAGATAAAAAAGCGTTACTTAAATAACATGAGTAACACGATACTCACAGTTTTCGGGCTCCCATTGAAGATTGACCTACATAGCCCATGTTGTTCGGCGGAGGAAACTATATCACAAACAGTTGATCCCTGCCTGTTTGCGGTTCATTATTCGCGGGCACAACTGCTTGCGGACTTCTTTTTCGCAGAACATATCTAGAGTATTCGCTAATTATTTTGATTTATACTTGGGACTAAACACATTTTAGGATTAAAACGGTTTACTACATTTGAAGTCTTGGTATTAGTCTGAACAGAACCAATAACATAACTGTATTTGGACAATAGTTTAAGGTATATTTGGTGTTTAAACACTTGAAAATTGTCAGTGATAAGAATTCTTTGAGGGATATCAAGTATTCATGGGTAGCTGCGGTTTCATGCCCCAACAAAGACTGGCGGCTGACGACGTTTAAGGGCGGTAACCATCTTAAAGCCAAACGCATAGTATTAGGAAAGATTGCCAATCTCATACCACCTTCTGTGAAAGAATTTGGAGTCTCGGTCTTACGACCCATTGCCGTTTTATTTTACGATCCTGCCCTCGAAAACTCGATCCTTTAGTCCAGGCTCAGATGATCAGAATTTACGTACTTGAAGTGTGGTCGCCCCCTTCTGCCTATATGAAAGGCGAGATTGATTTAACGCGAACAACCTCTATGGATACTTTAAAGTTGTCTACGTTGTTCATTCTTGTGTGGCAGGTTTTGGAACTCTTAGGAGTTAAGTGTGCTTCATTCACCTTGTCCCGAAAGCCCGCATACCAAACGGCAGACGTCTCCGAAGGAGAAAGGTTTATGGCCAGATCAATCCCTTATGACTGCCCTTAATGCTATCGCAAGTGCCGCCTCCAGGTGAGGGTTGAGTTTTATTGATCTGTCACTGTCTCGAAAGAATCATCATCCTCGTTCGGCCTTTTGGTACATATTCAAAGGGTCACACACTTCCAGGTCCACAAGCTCCAAACTCCAAGTGAGACGAACGTCCGTAAACTTTATTAAACAGTTCCTAATCAGAAGAAACGATCGATAAAACAAGGACATTCATCAGAAGAAGAAGAAGAGGCGATCGCTGGAAAATGGGCTTTATTTGCCTTACGTTTCGGATTCTCACTTGAATCCATCATCAGAGACAGTGACAGAAAAGGGTTTTACGTGCACAGGAAGTTGCAGCATTTATAAGATGCAGTCGCTATTCTACCGCATGCCTGTAGCAGTTAACCGCGCTCCACTTCATCAAGGTTTGGTGTCCGCCGGTGCGCTAGTTGCTTGATGACCGGTTTGCAAGTAGTTAATTGCTGAAATCTCATCACCCGTGTTGGATGCTGGCGTGATGATTGCTCGGCCATCTGGCTCACCGACTTGCGCGATCCCCGATTGGTCAATTACCTTGGCCAGCCCATGCCTCAGCACGGAGTATGGAGTGGGGATGTCGTTGCACTTTTTGGTAGATTGAGGTCCCATGAACCATGACTCAGGCAACTCGCGGCTCACACGATTATGCCCTCTCGCGAGAATTTCGGCCTCATCGAACTTGAATGTGTGGCCCGGGTCTCGTCGAATGGGCCGCGACCTGAGAGTTGGCGTCATTTCTCCGTACCGCTGTCGCATGTTCGGCAATTCGCGTTCGGAGTAGTCTTTCAGTTTCTCCGACGTAGTTGCTTCGTCCGTAACTGCAGCAGATTCGGTAAACAACTCCAGATGCTTCTTGCCGTGGCAGTGGGTCTTTTGGTCTCATCACCTGATGCCTCATGGTGGCCTCCGGTCTGTGTGCAACTCCAACCCCAAGTGGCGCGAAAAGGTGACTAACGGCCTCGGAGACGTTCCTGGTGTACGTGATCGCCCGCCAGAATTTGGGGTCGGCACGATTTTGTCGCTCGTCCCGCTTGCGCATGCACCGTTGACGAAGTTGCCTGGGTAACCACTTTCTCGGAAAACCTGTCGAAGATATTGGGATTCGGCAATCTTGTCTTCGTGTTCACTGTAGTGCGTCTCAACACGCCGATATAGCGTTCTTACGCAACTGCGTTTGTGACTTACTGGGTGGTTGCTGTTGAAGTTCAGTATTTGCATCGTGTTCTTCGCTTTTCTGAATACTTTGGTCTTTAGGCCACCACAGTTTTTGCGACAGACGAGGACATGAAGGAATGCCAGCTGGTTACTTTCTTCCTCCTCCATCGTGAATTGTATGTCGGGAAAGACGCTGTTCAAACCCTTTTTGAACGTTAACACCTGATCCCGTTCAATGACGACGAAGGTCTCGTCTACATACCGAGCCCAGAATTTCGGTCTGTGGTGTTGGAAGACCAGCGACTCCAACCGCTGTAGGACCGTCTCGGCGATGCATCCCGAAATCGGCGAACCCATTGGTGTTACATTCATCAATCATCACGCCAGCAGCCAACACGGGAGACGAGATTTCAGCAATTAGCTACTTGCATGCCGATCATCAAGCAACTAGCGTACCAGCGGGCAGCAGTCCTCGATTAAGGGGAGCGCGGTTAATTACTATAGGTATGCGGTAGCATAGCGACTGCATCCTATAAATACTGCGACTTCCTGTACACTAGCCACCCTTTTTCTGCAACTGTCTCTGATACTGGGTTCAAGTGAGAATCTGAAGCGTTAGGCGAATAAAGCCCTCGTTTCATCGGCCGCTTTTTTTCTTCTGATCAGCTAGTTCCTGGAACTCGCATCTTCGCTTATTTCAGTTCCTTATCTGTTTGTACATATACTCGAGAATAGCACCTGTGTCGGGCCTCTTGCTGCCTTTAAACACCGTGAGTTCAGGTTACGCAGGGTGGTTATTAGAACGGCGAGGTCCGTTTATTACTCAACAGTTCTAAGCAACTGCCCAGCAAGGTGGCATCGAAAGAATCATCATCCTCGTTGGTCCTTCTGTTACGTAATCCAGGGGTCGCACACTTACCAATGTTCAACTTTAGTAACCAATGCGCTGAGCAGCCGTGAAGTCGGTTAAGACTCTCTTAAGGTGTGTCCCTAACGTCGTTAGTCCCCATGACTCTCCAGAGTTTAATAGCGTCAGAAAAATGACTGTGCGAAAACCCAGGTTGTCGACACAGTCGTTTGTGCAAAATAAAAAGAGTAACGGTCCAAGAACTGAACTATGGGGGACACTACTTAAAACGGAGTAAGAGTTAACTCCAAAGAACCAATGCATACGACTTGCGATCTCCTTGTGAGAAACTCTGCGATCCATGCCACTAGCTTGTCTCTTATTTCGATTTCAAACAGCTTGTAAATTAGACATCTGTGTGGAACGCTGTCGAGAGCCTTCCTGAAATCAACGTAGACTACGCCAGATCTATCCTACCCTCCTCTTCCTGTGTACAATTCACTGGAATAACAATAATGACTCCGCCTGAAACCGTGATGGAGCGCTGAGAGTGATTTGCTCTCCTACAGGAACTTAATTTACGCACTCTTAGGCATAATTTACAGTGGGTACTGGTTAGACTGACGAGGCGATAATTACTCATATTGGTTCGAATCCAAATATTACACATCCAGTAGTTATTTGCTGTCCTCCATTCGGATGGTAGTCTCCCCAATTATAATAACAAAGGGAAGATATGCGCCAGTGATTTGGCGAATTCACCTGCCAATTCTTTCAAGACCTTCTGCGGCATATTTTCCAGACCCGGTGAATTAGCTTCTTTGATATTCTTCAGCCCACTTTCTGCAATAGATGCTGGAAATAGTGGAAATTCAGGCACTGGGCCGATATTTGCAACAGGAATGTTCACAGCACGAAGATGTGACTCTTCTTCTCTAGGTAATACGGAAGTAAATAATTTTGCCCAAGTTTTTGGCTTCCTCGCCATGTCCAACGAGTTCTAAGCCAACGTCATTCCTTAATCCTGCAATCGGATCTTGCTTTTTTAATGACTGTTGGTATAATGCACTAAAATCGTGGGTTTCTGTTCAACCTGTTGAATAATTTGGAACACATCCTCCTTCCTTGCCTCGGGGACCTGCGTTATTCCACCTTCCACTTCTCTTCATCGACTGTCTGTTATTACTCCTGTTAACCAGGCAAAGTGAATAGTTATTTTCGGTACCCCAGGTCCAAGGAAACCATTTTAGCGATCTTCCATCTGCCTCTGGATCCCTATGAGCAAATAGCCTCAGATCGCGGTTACCAACTTAGTCCTCATCATTCTAAAATCTACCTTCCATATATATCTTTGGTTTTCTGTCCCCTGCTGGTGCTGAGAAAAGAGTAAGTTGTCCCATAACAGTTCAGTAAGGTTTTTGCACTTGCTACTTGACTGGGAGCTAGTGAACCATTACTGAAGCACCCCCCCCCCTTCCCCCAGATCACGCGATCGCCACCTCTAGCAGGAATCTCGGCCTCTTCGAATTCGAATGTCTGGCCGGATCTCGTCGAATGAGCCGCAACTTGAGAGCTAACGTCATTTCTCCTCCCCGCTGCAGCGTGTTCGGCCATTCGCGTACGGAGCTGTCTTCCGGTTTTACCGACGTAGTTGCTTTGTCCGCAACTGCGCCAGATCCGATAAGTGACTCCAGACGTTTCTTGCCGTGGCAGCGGTTCTTTCGGTTTCATGACCTGACGCCTGATGGTTGCCTCCGGTCGGTGTGCCACTCCAACCCCAAGTGGTGCGAGAAGGTAGCAGAAAGCTTCCGAAACTTTCTTGACATACGGAAACGCTCGCCAAAATTTGGTGTCCGTGCGGTTAGGCCTTTCGTCCCTTTTGCGTTTGCACCGGCTGATGAAGTTGTGCTGCAGCCCCTTGTGCATGAACCACCCGTATCTGCTCTTGTCTCTGATGATGGTTTCGAGCAGGAATCTGAAGCTTCAGGCTAATAAAGCTCTCGTCCCAACTATCGTGCCTCCTTCTTCACTTCGCCAATTTTACAGAAGTCTTGAATGAAAACTTGATCGGGGGCTATTGCCTCTCCGCTTCTCTCTATATATCTTTGGTGTCGTTAAATTCTGTACAGAGGAAGGTCAAGTGTGTAGTCCATTAGTTAAAGGAACTGCCAGATTAGCTCAGTCTACTGCAGTAAAAAAACTCTTAGTAGCTAGTCCCTTCCTTGGCCACATGGAAGAGCGAATCCTTCAATTACATTCGGTTGGTTTATTGACCTGTATACCGCCGCACCTGAGGTAAACAAACCTCAGCCATATGTATTACCGAACTGGTGATAATAGAGGTTTTTGCAGCTGGGTCCGGGGAATGAACAGACGACCAGTTCAGGTAATTTTATACAAAAGAAAAGCTATTGGGAATGAGCGGTTGCACTCTGAGTGGTTGAGAAATAGTTGCCTACCCCCTAACAGTATTTTGTGGATTAGTTACAGCTGCATAACCGCATCTTACCTACCTTTCTTTATCATTATCTAGTCAGACTCATATTCAAAGCGCAGACTGTACGTTCGTCCAACTACCGAAGTTTCTAACGTCAAACATACGACTATCCCCCCCACACCACCAACCTGTCAATTTTGATTATCTCGGCGAGAAAGCTGCTATCGCGAAGAAGACATGATCACCGGAACGAGAGCTTTATTGGCCCAACCCATCGGACTCGCACTCGAATCCATCATCAGAGACAGATCTAGACTTTGGATAGTGAGTCGCACATGTGTTGCAGTATCTATAGAATACAGTTTCTGCTTTACTCCATGCCTACTAAAATTATCAGCTGTCATATTCATCGCAGATGCACGTGGCGCAACAGTGGTCTGATCACACGCAGTCAAGTCGCTATTTGTCGGGCTTTCATCACCGGTGCTTGTGCAATTTTGCACACCGACACCGGCTTTAGCTATAGTGGAGATGCGTACGCTCTCTGTGTGTGACTAACCACTTTGTCTAGTCAAAGTGTTAACGCATAATATGGAGTGATGAGGTCATTGAGCACGTTAATCGATTGGAAGCCGGAAAACTAAGATACCGGCAGTTCTCGATTCACGCGGCTATTACTTCTCACGAAACTTCTGACTCCATCAAACTTGAATGTCCCGCCGGCGTTCGGCGAATGAGCCCCTACCTGAAAACTGGCCTCGTTTCTCTTCACTGTTTCTGCGTGCTCGGTTACCTGCGTCAAAAGTAACCTTTCAGTTTCTCCGGCATAGTCGCTTTGCTCACAACAGCACCAGAACTGGTAAACGACTGCAGACGTCTCCTATCATGGCGATGGTTTCTTCAGCCTCCTGACCTGGCATCTGACGGCTGCGTCCGGTCTGTTTACAACTCCAAATCCAAGGAGTGTGAGAAGGCGACTGGCGGCTCCCGATAGGCTCTTCACCTACGTGAGAGTTCTGTAAAATTTGGAAGCGGTTGAATTAGGTTTCTTGCTTCGTTCACGCTCACACTGATTGACAAAGTCGAGATGGTAGTCATTCGCTCTAAGCACTCGCCGAAGGTATTGCGATTCGGCGACCTTGTCATCCGGTTCACTTCAGTGCGTCCCCCACGGTGGTATAGTCCCCTTATGCAACTGAGTTTGTGACTGTTTTGAGTTTGTTGTTGTTGTTGTTGTTGTTGTTGTTGTTGTTGTTGTTGTTGTTGTTGTTGCAGAGTTCTTGCGTCGTATTTGTCGCTTTCCTGAATACTTTGATTTTTGGCTCACCACAATCACCGCGATAGAAGAGGACATCAAGAAAGATCCTCCACCTCCTCCTGTTTCGAACGCAGCTAGGAAGAGCATTGACAGCGGTTTAGATAGTTCACCGGCGAGCTCCTTCATCAATTTGGTCGGTGTGTCATCTAGCCCAGACGATATAGACTCATTCAGGATCAACAGTTCTTTGCGAACAATAGCTTCGACGAAAGAGACAATACTAGTCGTTGGCCCGCCCACTATGTCGCAGTCGGGTGGAATAAATGCGCTGTCCTTCGTAAAGATGGACTTAAAAATTGCGAAAGGTGCTCTGCCTTTTCTCCGCCCTCACTGAGCACTACGTCTTCACTAGGCAAGTTGTGTCTGTGTCCGCCGTTCAGGTGCTCAGACCCCAACGCGTATGTGCGCCCTTCGTTGTCTCAGTGTCCGCCAGCCAATCAGAGGAGAGGCAGCGCTGATTGGCTCCGAGCACTCGCGTGTCCCAGTATCGGATCGACAGGGAGTGTGGGGCGGACAGGGAGGCAGCGTGACAAAGCAACGGAGGAGCGGACTGCTGTAGTTGCACTACCACAATGGAGGATAGGTTTATGCGTTACCAGTCATTCTTTTCGGCTTATCGTCATCAGCGAACATGGCGGCATCACAATTCACTTCACTGACGCAGTCTTTGACGTATATAACGAACAGAGTAGGGTCAAGGACGGAGCCTTGAGGAACACCGCTTTCGACCGCTACCTCCGCTGACTGCCCGTCACCGATGCGGACAATTTGAGAGCGACCGATCGAGAAGCTTTGGATCCACCTCAGGAGATTACCCCTAATGCCTGTTTGGCTTAATTTGTACAGGAGGCGCTGATGTGGTACACTATCGAATGCTTTCTTAAAGTCGACATAGGCTGCGTGCACTGCATTGCCGCCATCAACTGCCTGTTCACAGCGTTCTAAAAAATAAAGTAATTTTGTCACTCATGATCTCTCCCCACGAAATCCGTGCTGAGTATCGCATAGCACTTTATTTCACGCTTTTTTCAGAATTTTGAAGCAAAATGAAGTAAGGCTGATTGGTCTGCAGTTGTTTGCTAAGACCTTGCCTCCGCCTTTATAAAGTGGCGTGATCCGTTCATATTTCCAATCGACGGGCAAATAGCCCGATTCGAACGAATGTTGGGTTTAGATAATTCTCCAGCGAGTTCGAGTCCCAAGGAGTTGTTGCGTGCCTCAAGACTGTGCCTAGCCGGATTTAAGACTACAGCTTCCGCTTACGACTGGACGAGTGCAATGTTTATGCCTTCCGTGGAATACCTTGGGTCCATAACTGACCGAGATGGTCTCCATCTGGACCCCGATAACACTGGAGTCATCAAGCAGATTTCTCCGGCGAAGAATGCACCTTCCTTGCGACATTTCATGGGCCTCATACGATATTACAGTCCGTTTTCAGAAAAGCCACCAACACAAGACAAATACTACACTTCAACAGCAATCACCCCCTCTCTCACAAACGCAGCTGTATCCGTACTCTATTCCAAAGAGTTGAAACACACTGCAGCACTCCAGCCGGCAAAAGAACTGGACGACAATACCTTCATGACCTCTTTCGAGCCAATGGATACCCAGCTACTTTATTAAGCAAACCAAGGGCCGAGTGGACAGAAGACGGCGTTAAGAAGAAAGACTCGAAGTCTGGAAGGCTTTTCCTTACATTAAAGGAGTCTCCGAGGCGGTTTCACAACTGTTACAGCCCGCCAGGGATGGCATTGCCCGTCGACCCCATGCAATACCTCCTCGCCGTTTGATGCAACCCAAAGACATATTGCTACTCACTGAAACCTCAGCACTTGTCTATCAAATACGTTGTAACGATGGAGACTGCAACTACGCTGGGGAAGTCGGACGTAAATTGCAAACCAACCCAGCTGAGCATCAACTAGCAACTCGGAGACTATATCCGAACTCACAGCTAACGACCCACATCGGAGAAACTGGCCACAGTTTTGACTTCGATGAGCAGCCGTCTTAGATCGGGGCACCTCAAGCACAGAGCGTCTCACGCTTGAGGCTTGGTACTCAGATGCCAACTCAATTAACAGGCATCGAGACCTTCTTGCGGATCATAAAGTCCTACGTCACTACATACGCCGTGACGAACACAGGACAGTCATATGGAGCTCAAGAATACCTAGCAAACACGGCCTGTCGACCAATTCACCCAAAAAGGGACACAAAAGGAACTAATCCCAATTGAGGTGATGACACACAATACAGGAGGCCACCAACACTCACAGGCGACGGCCAGTAGGCCAAGACAGCGAAAGAAGAAAAAATCGATCATCCCAAGGCCAACTACCTCGGCTACTTGTACAAAATTCTGACCGATTTTTGCACTAGACGCTTTGATAATGGAGAGCCGCCCAAGTTCTTTGAAACGTCAGCCATACAATTCCCACGATCCGTTGAGAACTCCCCTTTCCTCATGTTATCCATCCGGATCTCTTGCGTTTGCTAACCTGATCAGAAGCCTTCCTAATGGAACATATGATACGGGAGCCACAATAAACACTCTTCGGGGACTGTTCATCAAAATTACTAGTCACAAAAATGTTATTTACACTGATAAAGGGCAGTTTACACCAACCGCCTTCACCATATTCTAATAGTTGTCAGACATTGATAACTTGCATTCACCACCATATCATCTATAGTTTAACAGACATGTTGAGCGATTGGTCGACACTTTCAAACTGGCTCCCCAGCATATAAAAGAAATGAGTCCATGGAAGAATTTCTCGAAATATTTTTTACCGAAGCATTAGGCAATCTCGAACCCGAATTCTCTGGACGGTGCCTCTGCGGCAGCGGCTCTGATGCGGAGGCAGCGTCACACACCATTCAATATAATTCGTCTGTCGTCATCTTTCAGAGTACCTAGGGATGTCGATCGTAAAACATTCTGTCCGACGTTGGTAGAGAGGCAACTCGGGTCGAATCTAATTTTGTAGCCGTACCTGCAGCAGACAAGCTCCTGATTAACGACCAACCACTAACCCCCAACCTTAGCCCGTAACTCCTAACCCTGACCACTAACCCCTAACAGGTACGGCTACGAAACAAGATCTTGCCGGCAATTCAACCGGCGCCGTGCAGTAAAGCAGTGCTGGCTCAATCCGGGTAAGAATGTGCTGGCAAAAGAGCACAGAAGCAATCAGGACTTCTGGACACTTGGACGTGTTAACTGAA